AAAAACAAATTAAACTTATAGAAATTGAATTTCTCAACCCTGTGATGGGGTGCTGTCAGGTTAAATATAGCGTGGCAATTTTGCCCTCTTGTTGTTCCTGCTCAAGTGATTTTTGCTTTCGAGATATGGTGTTTTCTATGAAATAGAAACACCTGATAGATGAGCTCAGTTTATCTGCACGATTGTATTAGTTATCGCTGTTTTTCTACATGGTTTCGAAAGCTCTTTTTACGTTCATCGACCTTTTTGGAGCACAGTGGGTACGAGTCATGCGCTAGTTGATTGATTATTTTCAAAGCAACATAACTCCAATAATTCAATATGGAGTTTCAGTCTATGAGTGTACATGTTTTTCAAATCTCAGCGCAATCTTTTTATTGCAAAAGAAAAACTTAAAGCGTATTTATTTTAGAAGAAACTCTGCTCATTCGTGGATTTTATTTGTCTGAAACAAAGCCTTAACTGTTTATGAGTTGCATATTTATAAACTCTTGAATTTTTTTTTGCGTTCGATTGCCAATCTTCATTCTGTAGAGTCTCTCAATAGTTTATTTTCAGCTCAAAATGCAAGTCGAATTGATTACACTCGAAAATCCTTCACGCGAAACAAAAATTACAAGGTGCTTCATTAGCTGTATTGAATTAGGGCTTCCTATTTATTGAGTGAAACAAAAAATTTTACTCCAAAAACTTATTTCAAACAAATTTTAAAATATCGTTTATTTATTTATTTAAATTCTTGTTGAAGCTATAACATATATTGCAATGCTTGAGAAAAATTTTTCAGTTAGTTTTTCGCAAGGTCATTAATTTTTCAGTAATTTTCGAGGTAATTAAGTCTGTCTGTCTGTCTGTCTGTATACCTACTTTTTAAATTATTTTGGTTATGTCTGTCTACTCGTCTCCCAATTTTGAACTTTCAATTTGGTTTCGACGATTCAGTTTAAAATAATACTACATTCAAACGGTTGCCTCTAATCTACTTTTTTTTCTATCTTTTTTTCTGTCTTTTTTTCTAACTTTTTTCGGTCCTTCTTCTTTTTCTATATTTCTTTTTCTATCTTTTTTATCTCTTTTTTTATCTTTTTTTTTCGATCCTTCTCTAATATCTTTTTTCGATCTTTAATCTTTTTGAACTTATTTTTCTGTCTTTTTTTTCGATTCTTTCGTTCCCATTTTTTTCTATCTTTTTTTAAATCTTTTTTGGATCCTTCTTTTTCGATCTTATTTTTTTTTTTCATTTTTTCTAACTTTTTCGATTTTTTTTTCGATCCTTCACTATTTCGCCACGCTTAAGCTTTTTTAACGTAATTTTTTTGCATGTTTAACGAAAGAATTTTTTCACGTTTAAGCTGTATCGTATATTGCCATGGTTAAGATTTTTTCGATTTTCCAGTTTGAATTCAGTGGTCATTTTACCGAGTTTAATATAAACAGCCCAATAGTGGGATGCTGTCAGGGTTCCCAAAGGGGTTGCGAATTTGGCCTCTAACTTAGAATGCTCAAATCTTTTTAGTGTACGAGATACGACGATTTATGATTTTTTTTTCAAAATTTTTCCGAAAACTCCATTTACAAAATAATTTAGAAAATTTGAAATTCCCAACCCTGTAATTGGGTGCTGTCAGAGTATTCTCAAAGATTACGAATCTTGCCTCCAAATCTGACTGCTCAAGTCCTTGCAGTTATCGAGATATGACGCTTTTTGTGGTTTTTTCATTAATTTTTCAGAAAACACAAACAATTTTTTTTTCAACGAATTAAGACTGCTCAATACTTTGTAGTTTTCCAGATCTGAAGTTTTTTGCGTTTTTTTTGAAGTTTTTCAGAAATGCAACTTTGTTTTTTTTTGTAAATTTGAGAGTTCTAACCCTGTAGTTGGGTGCTGTTTGAGTACTCATAGGGGCTGCAAATCTTGCCTCCAAATATGACGGCTCAAATTCTTGTAGTTTTAAAGATTTGAAGTTTTTTGTGATTTTTTTTCGAAAAATTTTCAAAAAAATTAATTTACTTTTTTTTAAAGAATTAGATTTTGTTTACCCTGTAGTTGGGTGCTGTCAGGGTACTCCCAGGTATAGCAATTCTTTCCTCCAAACTTGACTGCTCAAATCTTTGTTGTTTTTGAGATATGACGTTTTTTGTGATTTTTTTTTTAAAAAAATTGGAAAACCTAAACAAAATTCATTTCTTCAAATTTTGAATTTCCCAACCCTGTAGTTGGGTGCTATCTGAGTGCTCTCAGGGTTTGCGAAACTGGCAACGAAATAAGACTGCTCAATATTTGGTAGTTTTCCAGATATGAAGTTTTTTTTGTTTTTTAAAATTTTTCAGAAAATGCAACTTTGTTTTTCTTTTATTTCAAATTCCTAACTCTGTAGTTGGTTGCTGTCTGGGTACACATTGGGCTTGCGAATATTGCCTCCAAATATGACTGCTCGAATTTTGTACTTTTTGAAATTTGACGTTTTCGAGATTTGACGGAAAATAGGAATTGAAAAAATTTATAAAATATGAAATTACCAACCATGAAATTGGGTGCTGTCAGAGTACACTGAAAGCCTGCTGATCTAGTTTCCAATATATGCGGTTTTTAATGAGTTGTCAAAACTTAGAAGCACCTGAGGTGCGTTTCACGCTATTTTAATTTATATCCATATCATTATGGAATTGTGTTAGTACATAATCGACGAATTGATTAGGTTTTTCTTGTTGAAGCTTTTGAGTGTGGGTTCCAGTTCTCATCTGAGAACTGGAACCTTCTTTAGCTTGTGTATTCTTTGCTTCAGCATGTGCTCAGTTGGGTGTCCTCTGTCCAAAAAAGCCTCCAAACAATTCTTTTGGTGTTATGGAGGCTATAGCGTTACGAAGGCTAGAAGCTAGGTGAACAGGTGTTTAAAAAAATTTAAATACCGTATTAAGTTATTTACGACTTGCGAGTTTTCGGACCCAAAATATTAGCTTCAGCCTGATCAAAAGTAAATTGGTAAGCGTTAACTGAATCATATTCCGCATTGGTTTCCTTTTCGCTCAATTCAATCGAAATTGTGTCAGTAATTTTCATTTATTAGAGTTTTTCTATACTCCTAATTTTCATTTATTTGTTTTTGATATGGCTTATTGTAATAAACTTTGGCGATATTAAAATATGTTTTATGCTAACTTGAGTCAGCGTGTTGAGACCCTATTGGGTACGTTTGCTGTTCTCTAGGGGTTAAATGAAAGTGATTATTGTATAAATACATGTTGAGTTTGCTTTTTCTTTAATTTTCAGATTTCCAGCAAAACATAATTTTACTGACCCAATTTTCTCGAATTGGGCTAGCTCTATCAAATCATTGTCAATCATAAAATTTTTTAGAAATCCAAAGAATTTTGAGGCCATCTATTTTTTCTTTGAAACTCGAAAGATGAGACTTTTCAAAATAAACAAGGCAGTATTTTTTTCTGTTTACTCTTACGTTCATTGACTCTTTGCCACCTCTCTGTTGGCTATGTTTTGTTGATTAAGAGTAATGAACGTAGTTTAGGTCTTATAAAGGTCTTGGCGATTTCTTTTTTTTTTTTCAGGAAATAGTTTCGAAATTTGTTCACGCTCATTTTGATTTTTCGCGGTTTGACTTCTCAGTTTCAGTTCATTTTTTTTTGTTAAAAGAAAGGCAAACTCCTCTATCGAATAGCAAAAATATAAAGGTCACGAGCAACGTGATCGACGTCTAATTTAGAAAACAGAAATCAGTTATAAGATTTCGCAGCAAAATAAATGTTGGTTTTATTTTGACAAAAAAGCGTCAATCATAAATTGTTCGACAAATTCAGAGAGTTTCGGGCATCTATTTTTTTTCTTCGAAGTTCAAAAGTTGAATGTTTTTCCAAAAACAAGTCAGTTTTTTTTTTCCAGTTTCCTTGCGTTCATTACTCATTTCCAACTGTCAGTTGGCTATGTTTCGGGGTTTTTCATCGTTTTATACGTTTCATCTTGCCCATTATCGCCCGCTAGCCAAGTAAAAAATAAGCCCACTAAATCGTCTTGTTTTTTTAGCAAGTAGGGGAAGGGACAAGAAATTTCTGGAGATTACAATTGGAAAGAACCACGGTTTCTCGTTTGAATGACTATATATAGCACATGCTCCTTTAAAGGCCTTTTCAATTTGAGTGAACAGAGTATTATTCTGGTTAGAGGGCTTTGAGCACGTGTGATTTGGTGCTACTTACTAGCTATTTTTTTATCTGGGTCTTATATTGGCTCTTCTCAACTTTTCCCCACATAGTGCCTCGAATTGTTAATGATTCTATGTTCAAATGCGTACGATGGAAAGAATGATTAACAAACGTGTGTTCAGAATATGTAGTTTTAGCATCCTATCAAATTGATGTGTTTTAAGGAAAGTTTCACATCGTTTGCCCTTTCGCATCGAAATTTGAAAAGAGCCTTGATATCTGATTGTCTTACGACATTATCAAACGAAATCGCTGCAGGGGTCGAATCAGTTAGAGAGGAGAAAATACTGAGCTGTTCTTGTGTCGTTACGACGTCAAGCTCGGTTTTATAACTATGCACATATTTGTGCTTTTACGCGTCTGGATTCCACTGACACATCTTTTGCGTGTTTTAGAGACTTTTCTCAGCGGATTCCACTATCAAATGATCCCTACACAAAATGCCGACAAGTTATTTTTTGTCTGTGGATTTCGCAGACAAACGTGTTTTGGCCTTTGAAGTGGGTTCCATAGTCGTTGGTATCCACTATTTGTCAGTGGATTCAGCGGTCAATTTATTCTTTTTGTTGCTGGATTCCACTTTTTGTCAATGGATTCCGCAGTCAGTTTGTTCTTTTTGTCACTGAAATCCACGAGCATATTTTTAACTGTTTGAACGCATGTATCGGACCCATTTTTTATCAATTCGTTTTTATATTCTGTAATAAACGTATCCTTTAAAAAACCGAGCTTGGTATCGTAATGGTAGTTTGTCTCATACGTTGACTGTGCGCTTGTTTTAGTTTGATGCTGTTGCTGCTGTGTGTGTGACGAGTTAGCAATTGAAGACTGTTGATATTATTACCATCTAAAACTCGCTGAAGAGTTTCGGGAGCGGGATCTGGAAAGAGGGTCAAGCATCTGGTGGCTCTGAAAGGAAAACAAATTGGAAATTCATATCAACGAGCTGGTTTTATTAGAACAACGCATATTACATTATCGTTTGCTTCCATTTTCGGCAACAACATAGCTCGTTATTCCGATATTGTTACCACTATTATCAAACGTTTTTGCAACCTACTGTTGCTTATTTGTTAGAGCACACTCTTGTAAAGTTAGAACCTAATCATAAATGAACCAATGAACAGATTCAATTTCGTGCAATCAACTTAGTAATTTATTTAGTTTCGTTACCTTAACATTTATTTTAAAAACACTGCAATAGATCACATCAGTCGATAGATCAACATTTCTGTCAATCTAGTTTTAGTAGCTTTCGAACCGTTTATTCTTACTACTACCTGTTCTTTCTTCCATCATCTAAGGCCAGTCGAGTCATTTTGAGATAGGTTTCGACATCTTTCCTGCTTTGCGGTTGAACAAGTGCATATTGGCATATTGCGGACTTAACACTGACACATGCAGTCTTACGTGAACGCAGTGCGTGACGGAGATGATCACGCACGCTCTAACGGGGGCATCCACACTAAGATGCGTGCAAATGGGAGTGGGGACTCCAACTGTTCACACCTGTTTTCTCCCTCACACGAGGATAGTGTGGAGCATGAACAAGGCAGTGAGCAGCATCAACACGACACATCAGCTGAATCAATAGGAGCCTCATCTCTCACCTTGTCATTGTCCTTGTCCTCCACACTTGGCAGCTTATCAGGTAGATTTTTGTATGAATCGCAAACACGAAAAACAATGGCGCTTACTTTGTGCTTGTTTTTGAATATTTTGATGGCTCTTGTCCAGTTTCCCTCCCCTGGTGAAGTTACGATACGAACCTGTTTGAAAGTTGTTTATGAGCAATTTTTCAAAATTTTTATTCATTCGGTAACGTTCACATTATTCAATTACGCTTTTTTGGGCCCCTGCCTGATTTTCCTTGAAATAGTATCTACTGGCGCAGAAATCGCACCCTCAAAAATATGAAGAGTGCGTCTGTCTTCCCAGCTCCCCTCCACCCTCACATTTCAAATTCTAGCTTGAAAACTGTTTTTACGTTGATATATTGCAATGCAAAGTTGCATGGTGAACAAACTATTTTGAAATATTGCGAACGATATTGCTGTTCATTGTTTACATCATAACAGCACGCTATTAGCCACTAGAACACGTACTATAGCGAAAAGAGCCAATAACTCTTACAAAACAAATAAACCTGCACAGTCAAATAACATCTGCGTCTTAAAGGTTTTAAAAAAATTATACGTTTGATTGCAGTTCAGAGCATCAAAATTCATTTTAAGTAGACTTTCGTAAATAGATTTTGAGAAAAGCCGAGCCAGCTAAAAGTGGCTATCCATTGGGCTTGATGCCGATGATTTGGGTAGATGTGATGAAAAAAAGGTTTGGAATGTAAATGTTGTTCAAGGTGTGGCATTGTCGGCTTCTCATCCATCAGAAGCTCCTCTCTCATCTAATCTGGACGATGTGGAGTCCTCACTCCTCTCTTCCTCTACTTCAAATGACAGCAGTCTGAACAAGTCGCATGAATCCACTGACGCAATGCCAGTGAGTGCTACCGATTTGCTTTAATCTTATGTCATATCCAATTTTACGTCATCACTTTTTTCTTCGATCACTCTCGAAGAGAGGGAAGGAACTATGCCGTAGGGTCCGTTATTTAATTTTTCCAGCCAATTTTGACTACCTCCAGCAAACGTGTTATCATATTGAAGCCCTATTTGTAGTGATTTGGATTCTAAAAAAGACAGAAAAAAGTTGTGTCGAGAAAAACGGGTTTATCCAATTTTCAGACTACTCAAACAAAATCTGAAATTTGCAGTTTCAACTAATTCAATCAGTGTTCACTAAAAATAACGTTGAGCAGCTGTGGTCGAGTGGGTTAGGCACATGTTTTTCAACACGAGGGTCATGCGTGCGATTCCCGCTTCGATCGCGGCTGGAGGGGTTACTTTTTTTTTTTTAATTTAATTTACCATCTACATTACAACAGTAACGAATACTATTATAAGGCATGGAGGGTGACCCAAAGAGAATTTCATCTCATCGAGTGGGACACCTCGAGAACTTAAAGAGCAGAGACATAAAGTCTCCAGAGTGGGCATCAATTAAAGAGCAGTTTGTGTAAGAATTCATTATCAAAAATATAATTATGGAAAAAAGATTCCTGAAAACGGTTCAGTTCTGATTTATTTAATTCGAAAAAATCTTTTGGAAGTAAATTATTCTGAAAAACAAAATTATATGCTATTGCTAGCCTACGTTTAAGAGAGAATTTCATGGCATTTGATTTAAAAGCTATATTTGTAATTTGTTTTTTAGTCTTGCTGCGGGTGTGAGGAAGCCTTTCTAGGCTCGATAAACTCAAAAAACTATTCTTATCGGGGCATCTTAAAATTTCAAATAATTTTTTGAAGAGAGTTTTCAGAAACATATTAAAGACTGAATAAATTTTGTTTTCACTCATATATTGGGTTATTGGTTCAAATTTGCGTTTGAAGAATATAGCCCGCGTGATGCGTTTTTGTAGTTTTAAAATTGAATCGAGATGAGTTTTATATGTATTGCCATAAATAAGAATACCATATTGAATTACGGATTGAGCATATGCTCTGTAGAACAACAGAAGACTTGCTTTCGGAAAAACTTCACGACATTTGTAAACTATTCCACAGAAAGTTGATAACTTTTTAACAATGCCACATATATGTTGCTTAAAACTCAGTTTTATGTCAATTTTTAATCCCAAATATTTAACAGGCAATTGGCAGTTCGATTGAAAATTATCTCCAAATACATTGATCATTTCAACATTTTTCCCGAAACTCATAAAAACGCTCTTTTTACAGTTGATTGTCAGGCCATTACAATCAATCCATTTTTCAATATTTTTCATTTCGTTTTCAAATTTATTTGTCCTTATTGTACTTGAATAACATAAAGTTGTATCATCTGCATATAAAACTGGTTTAATTGTATTACAAACAATCGGAAGATCATTAATAAAGATTAGAAACAACAGAGGTCCTAAAACAGAACCCTGCGGAACGCCATATGTTGAATGTTCTATTCGAGATTCTTTTTGGTCAAAAGCAACATATTGTTTGCGATCAGTTAAATAACTCCGGATAAGTTTGTTCAGTTTACCCCTTATTCCATACTTATCTAACTTAAGAATAAGTAGCTCATGATTTATTGTATCAAAAGCTTTTTGGAAATCGATGAAAAATGTTTCACCGTAACGGCGTTTATCAATAACTTCTCGAATGAACTCGGTAAATTCTAATAAAGCATCAGCGCAACTTTTTTTAGGTTGAAATCCGTATTGCTCTGGTGTGAGAATTCGATATTTTCTTAGAAACTTATACATTTTGCCAAAAATGATCTTTTCAAAAACCTTGCTTATCGAATTGAGTAAACTTATTGGTCTATAGCTTTCTGGTAGTTGACAATTACCATCTTTATAAAACGGAAGCACCTTTGCAATTTTTAGTGCATTCGGGAACGTTCCTTGCTTTATACATTGATTAAATAACTTTGACAAAGGTTCGCTAATAACCGTCGACGAGAGTTTCAAAATTTGATTACTTATACCATCCGGACCTGAAGACCCCTTATTTTTAATAAGAATAATTGTATCAAAAACTTCTTTTGTTGTTATTTCCTGAAAAACCATTGAATTAGGTATAGATTTAACATGCCTTAAGGCAATTTTATGATTGACTTTTTTACCACTTAATTTATTACCAATTTGAGCGAAAAACTGATTGAAGACATCAGCTTCAACTTCTATTTTGGCAGATGTTTTGCTTTGTATGAAATCGTTATATGCCTGAAAAATACTTTTATTGTTTTTCGATTTTTCGATTTTTTGTTGGTAAAATTTTAGTTTCGAATTTCTTATTAGCGATGTGGTTAAATTTCGGGACAATTTATATTTCTCTAAATTTGTCGGAGTTGGATCAATTATCCATTTTTTGTAGAACATGTTTCTCTTTTGCATTTGCTTTTTAATATCCTGGGTAATCCAAGTTGGTTTTGCTTTATTATTCACCTGAGATAATGGGCAAAATTTATCTAAAATACGTGTTAAGCTGTTTACAATGTAAGTTATCTGCTCATCAGCGTTTAGTGAACTTTGCATTTTATTGAGTTTTTCATGTAGTAAGAAAAGGAAATCCACCAGGTTTTTGTCATTTTTCAATGGATTTATGTTTCGGAAAACGCTCTGTGTTTTAATGTCATTTTTACTTTTAAAGTCATCAATTTCAAGTAAAATTGAGTAATGGTCACTGATTACAGTTTTTAAAGTATTTATTTTGTTCAAACAAGAATTGGTAAAAATATAGTCAATACAAGACTGACTTGAAGATGTAACACGTGTGGGTTCAAAGTTGCGTTGGAGAAACCCATGTGAGTTCATTAATGTCAAAAAATTCTCACTAGTGATTGAAGCATCAAGTGAATCTATGTTAAAATCACCACATATTATTGTTTGGTTTTTCCAAGTAGCCACCGTATCCAGGAAAGATTCTAGCTTTTCAAAAAAGTCGTTTAGTGCAGAAGATGGTTTTCTATACAAAACAATAAAATTTTTCGAATGTTTTTCATTTTTAACAGATATAGCTAGAAACTCAAGATCTGATTCCAATTGCAATTTTGACACCTTTAAATCCGATCTAACGAAAAATGCACAACCACCTCCGCGAGTACCTTTTCTGTTAGTAGTTATTGTAGGTTGGTAGCCTTCAACTGAATAAATTGATAAGGGATCATTGTCCGTTAGCCATGTCTCGCAAAGTGCTATTATTGGTGGCTTAACCTCAAAGTCGTCAATAAGAATTTTTAACTCATCATAATGACATCGCAAAGATCTAATATTCAAGAAAAAAAGAAAACTGCTATTTAATACGCCCACTTGTCTCCCCTCTAGGAGTTCTCGATAATATAATTTACTCATTTATCAACAAAAATAAGAAACAGAAAAAATTAGGCGCTGACTTGCAAGCCACGCTCAAACATTCTTGTATGCTTCATCAATCCCAACCCCATAGAGCATGCAAGAATGTATGAATAACTATGAACCTTCCTCGTAGGGATTTACAACATATTCTGAAAGAGTTTTTCTGTTTTTGCATAATTGCTCCAATAATTGTTCTCCTTCTTGCTCTGGGGAGTCACGTAATCGCTTCAGAATAGATTTAATATTCTCCTCCCGTTGAATATTATTTGCTCTGATTGGTGTCGTATTTCTTTCATAATCAGATACACTATAATTTTCCGTAGATTTTCCAGTTTTCGACTGAAATTTGTCAGATTTCTTAGTCGCTAAGTGTTTCATATCATCAATCGCCTTTTTCGAACTAACGGGAAAAGATTTGTAAATTCCTCTGTCGTCCATTTTAAACATTTTAACCTGACAATTCTGACTGGTATTTACAAGACCCAAATCATCAGCGTATTGTTTGAGTAGACGGTCTGCCGGTGGAAGCCTTTCCTTGAGAAAAATTTGTTTGTTGTTATTCGGGTTTCGAATGTTAGCCAACCAAGATTTTCTGTTGTAGATTTCACTTTTTTCCCCAAAATTTAAAAATTTAACTATCACAGCTGGGGGATAATTGATATTTTTCCACGTTCCAAGCAAGTGACAGGCTTTAAAATTACTCGGGCTAGTTTTATACTGAAGAAATTGGGCCAAAAAATTGCATACCTGATGTGACAACGGTACCTGATTGTTTACTATTGGCAGGTTCTCCAAAATTAGGCAATCCTTAGAAGAATACCTTTCCTGTGCAGATACTCTTTGCTCCAAATCATCCACTTTGTTCGCAAGATCTAGAATAATCTCATCTTTTTTGCCCAGATCCGTCAATAATTTATCGAAAGTCTGTCTCACATTGGTGTCGGAAATCTTTTTCAGCATCGAGGAATACATGTCTTTCTCAAAACGTGATCCCATGTTAAAGGAACTCTCAGTTAAATACATAAGTTTGAAATTAGTAGTAAAGAAATTTCACACGTAAAGAAAGAATTGAGAAATTCGAAGCAAAACAATTTGTTTAAACGCGGCAAGAAAAAGCGACTATTCAGCGCTGCTCATTTTGTTGCTTCTGACTGTGTCATCCGCCTCCTCAAGGTGGGACCGGCGGCGGCAACATGGATGACATCTCCCCCTCCCCCACGGTTGGCCCTGCACTGAGCAGGCCGGGGGCTAATAAAGAAAATAACTAAAAATAACGTTAACATTTTTTAAAATTCAAATTTACTGGTGTCGGAATATTTTGTGCTACTTGCACAGCAACCGGTTATCTTTGTTATATACCTGAACTATGCTTGAATTTTAGAGCGATGGTGGCAACAGACTGGTTCGAACTGGAGAGCACACTTATCGAATCCCTGATGGGGAAAAGTGCACGGTTAAAGTAGGTGACAAAATCAGAATCATACACGGGCCGGCCATCCTTAACTTCGCGTCTTCTGACGGACTCATGACCAGTGTAATGGGCGATGTTCCAAAAATATCTGCATCTACAGCCGCTTCCTGTAACATTCCTACGGCACGAGGGGCAAAGCCGACTACCACGTACGAGATACGGGACAAGGCGTCTCTTCTGGTACCTTCATTGAGCTCCTCTCCCTCGAAGAGTGATCACGCGGAGGAGGAGGAAGGAGTAATTGAAGGGGAGTTGAGAGTGTTCACGGAAGAAGGAAATGACAAGCGAGACCACAAGAGGAGAGCGTCCGATTTGAGTGAGAGAGCGCCAGACGGATCACCCTCGGGAATGGGAGACTACAATCCTTGGAAACGAGGTCAGTAATTAAGACGTCCCTAAATTGGCGTCATGTCATGTTATGCTGATTTACTTAGTTATCAGATGTTACAAAACATAAAATTCTATATGACCATTCTGTTTGAGTTAATATTGACCTTAAGTACTCGAAGATATAGCTCACTCATCACACTTGCGAGCGCTAGTGTATTAGTACGAACCTTTTTTTTTCTACCCTTTCTCGCAAATAAAAGTTTCATTGAAAGTGTTCACTTATATGGAAATTTCATTGTAACATTGGAAATTGCATAGCATCTGTTCTCTGATTTATCTGTGGCTAGTGTTTATTATTAATCAAGCGTCCGTGGATGAGTGGATAGTGCGTGAGACTTATAATCTTTTGATCGCAGTAGGGCGTAGGTTCGAATCCGAGTCGTAGCCGAATTTTGTTTCCTTTCGAGTTTTATAGAGCTGATTTTAGTTCGTGTTTCCGCTAGTGTTTGCTCTGTATAACACTTTGAGGATTAGCTGAATTAAGTCTGAGTTGATAAGCGAAGGTAATTACACTAGCGTCAGCTTAGTGTATTATTAAGAACCTAATTTTTTTCTAACCTTAGTAGCAAATATTGGAGCCACTCTTCGAGCACCTTTGCACTTTTTGATAGCATGTGCTTTGACATTCGAATAGTAACAAGTTGACACAGTTGATACTTTTTTAGTTCATCAAATGAACCGAAAAAAAATCTATTTGTTTCAAACAACATAAATATAAGAGTTTTCTCACTCAATATAGCTCGCATTTTTTTTTGAATGGCATAATTTATACTCAATGTGGTTTTATGCTTTGCGATTTGTTACATGCAAAATTGTGTCTATTGTATTGGTGCTACTTCTGCTGAAACGCATTGGCCATTTTTAATCATATGTAGCTGCTTTTTTTGTGACTAGACTTTGGTGGTGGTTAAGTGTGTGGCTGAGTAGTTAGTGCGTGAGTCTTAGAATCTCTTGATTGCAATAGGTCGCAGATCGAATATTAGAGCTAGCCGGATTCTGCTACTTCGAGGCTCCGTTATGTTTTTTTTTATTGCATTTTCTAGAGGTGCTTTTTGTCGTGCTCTCGCTAGTTTTTGCGAAGTTTCTCCTCTGTTAAAAAATTAGAACTCTCTTTCGTCAAGTTTCTCAGAGAATCAGTAGAAGCATCTAACCCATGCATACCTCAGTGAAAGAATTGCCTAACCGCTCAATAAATCATGCTGAAACATATCTAAAGGGCAGGACTTACACAAATGACAATACGCCAGTGAGAGTATAATATAGTTAAATACTGGGTTTTGCCGTACATTACGTTCTCATTGAGCTTAACACAAATGAAATTCAGATTCTGTCGTGAAAGTTTTTTTTTGACGGGCTTTTTTATTGCTGTGCTCATACAAAATAGTCCCATACAAAACAGTCCCATACAAAACCTTCCGAAACATCTCTAAACATTTATTAAACTCAGTCTCATACAAAACAATCCAAAACCATTTGAATTTTTTGTACTTGATCTTTTGGCGCCGACAGAATTGATTTACGCTTGAAACTTCAATTTGAGGGTAATAAAATATCAAAGAACGATTGAAAAAAATCATCAAAAATGAAATGCCTCATGGTAAAGTCGTTAAAGTAAAAGACTCAAACCCTAGAGATCAAAGGATCGATACCCGAAGGCACAAATTAATTTCTTTCCAAGTTTCCGGAAAAAAAAGAAATATGGGTGCGTATGAAATTGGTATATCTAGAGTACAAAAAATGGGCTCAAACTTAGAGAGTTAGGCGATAAGAAAGGAAAATCAACACCTTTCATGTAACTTATTTTTGCCGGTTTCAGATCGACTAGCTCATTTTTGAAATATCAAGGAAAATAGTTGAACTTGGAAAATTTTTATTGCTTAGCAATACTGAATTAATTTTAAAAATTGAAAACGAAATAAACTTATGTTTTTAGTTTAATTATATAAATATATTTACACAGAAACTCAATGATATCGGAATGATGCAACCTAATCATAGTCATTAAGTTATTGGTATCAAGTTTTTGGCATTTAATTTTAATGGGTCTGGCTAATTTTTGTCCTGTGCTCATTTTTTAAAGAAAAATTGCTATCTTCTTTTGTTCTTCCTTGAACTTCACGATGAATTTTGGAAAGAAAGGGTGCTTGCTATTGACTAGTTTAACGAAATCGATGTTCTAACTTTCTACAGCGTTGTTGTTGGGAAGGTTGTTTTGTACTCTTTGATGACAACTCCATTCCTCTATGTCAAATCTGGGCTTCTATTTTCCTTGTAGTCAGTCTGCCAAATAGTTAAAATTCGGTTGTGTGTCTTCGAATGCTACACTTTGAAGAAGTTCTAAGCAGCGGGGACGTCTTCTACGGGCAGAAATTCTGTAGACAGAAGCATTCGAATAGCAGAGTAACTTGATAAATGAACTGTTGTTTCTCGGTTAACATCACTCTGGGCTGTAAAAATACATCCGAAACTGCTGCTCGGTCTTTCAGTGTTTTCTTCCTGAATTTAAGTTTTTTGATATCAGTGATCTTTGACGTTGTCTTCCTTTGCACGCACACATCAATTGCAACTGCTTTGTGCTCAGCGACACAGGTGTCTGACATTGTTCGGTGTTTTAAATATGCATACCTTCAACAATTAGTAACTCAGAATTTCAAGTATAATTTTCATTGATAGCAAGTGAATGGTGTTCGATTGAGTGGTGCCAAGTGTTCGCAAATGAAAAAAAAATGAGCTACCTGTATGCTTTAGACTGAAATAAACAAAAAGTCCGTTTTCGAATTGTGTTAACTTGATGTTTCGCGGATAATTGCTCTTAATGAGTGGACGCTGCTTTTATCTAGGTTTTTCATCCGGATTAAGATGAATCAATTTTTTAATCCGTGCGAAATTTTCATTAAAACATTTCCGACATCAGTTTATTCGTGTAGGAAAAACAAAAGAAGAGGCAAGCGATAATGGGAATGACAGTGGATTGTTCATATGTGAGCCAGACAGCAGAGACCAACACCATCAGACAAACTCGGAGGAAGAAGTAATCATTCTTGGGGATTCCAAACAGCATTCGTCATCGGGCGACACTTCCTGTATGTTACACGTGGACACTCGTCATAATCATGCGTCCAACGGCACTACTAGAAGGACAGGGAGCCGACAGGTGTCTCCTTGTAGCGAGAAGTCACACGACTCATCATACAGTAGCCGCGGAAGTCCGGGTCCTCATTCACCGACCAGCGACCATCATAGGCACTGCTCATCAATGTCATCTCCCCTCTGCGACGACAGTGGAATCGTGTCCAATGGGGCTCTCTCAGCCACTGGTGGGTCCCGAAGGGCAAAGAGAAAAGTCAAATTGGTACCCTATCAGGAACCAACTGGTTAGTAATTAATGTCTCTTTTTGAATTGACAGTTTATAATTCGAGTTTTGTATTTGTTTTGTACTGTTTCTGTATAATCAGGTGCCGACTATGTTGAAAGAGTGAAGACTGCTCTTTCGTCAGTTGGTGCTCCACGGGTGGTGGAGATCGAGGCAACAAGAGCCAAAGTGATATGGGACAGTTGCAATCCCACTACATTCCCCCCTAACTCGCTGACGTCATCCGGAGGTAGTATTGTTGATAGAGTGGTCTATGTGATCAGCTGGGGAGAAAAAGAGACAAACAAACGCACCCAAATAACATGGTAAATTATTTGACTGATTTTTTATCGCTTATTTTGCGTGCGTTAATGTCCGAAATCTCAAAAGCGCAATGCGCGACTGCTAAGCTGCTTATAGAAGTATCAACGCGAGGCTCTGAAGTAATTACTCAGTCAGCATCTGCTCGGGTTGCAGGTAGTTTGAAGCCCCCAATGACCGGAGCGACTTTAATTTTCAGCCTGAGAGTTTCAAAGTTTTCTGTTAAAAATACTGTTACGCAGATATTGTCGTTTTCTGTAGATCGGTGCTAGAAATTTTTTGTGGTTGTAGATTGAGTTTTGTCCTCTATTTCAGTGGAAATGTGTGCAACTGTCTTCTCGAGCCCCTCTCGCCCCTGCACGACTACGAAGTGTCTCTGCAGGCCACTGTGGACGAGGTCAGAGGTCACTACAGTGCTCTTATCTCCTTCACCTCCAAGGGACTCCCACCCGATAGACCATCGCCCCCTGTGTTGAAGACAGCAGCACGCAACTCACTAGTGGTGGGATGGCAGCCTCCTAATAGTGATAATGGATCCAAGATCACCACATACAAACTTTTCGCAGTGCATGTAAGTTTCTCACTTCATGGCCGATTTGCTTACAAATTTCTGGCCTGGTAAAAAAAAGGTTTCATATTTTTGGATGTTTCAATGCTCTGTTTTCTGTTGTAATTGCCGGCGTAGTAGTAAAAAGTTGTTAGTATTTTTCAAGCCTGACTTTTCAACGCTTGTTAATTAAGTTTCCATTTAATTGAGAGGTTTTGTGACATTTTGACGAAGGGTTAAGTGCACTTTTTAGGATGCTGTGAGAGAATACGATTATTACATCTAGCTTTCAAGCAAATTGAAAATAGCTTCCATTTTTGAGTGACCGATGAAATTGTTTCCCAAAAGGAATTCTACTAAATTGAAGTAGCCTTTAGATTTATCGCGTTGCCATCTAAACTGAAGTGAGCATAAATTGTACTGGCATATGGTCGGCCGAAGTATTACATGTAAACAGGTCTTTTATCAACAACAGTAATTGAATTGTCTACCTTTTTTATAATTTATTAACAAAAACAGTTATCAACGCACACGAAGAAATGGCAAAGATAATGCTATTGAAAATAAACATTAAACAAAACTACTCGTATCTGGGCGGCGCAATGAATGTTCTGACTGCCCTTCAATATCTATTGAGTTCATTTTTTTTCATTTGAAATAATCATGAAATTTTCAAAAAAAAAATAAAAATTCCACACACATGCAATTTAAAGTGATATATTTCGCATACATCAGCGTATCATTTAAATGAATAAGCATGCCTCTATAAATTTTGGAAAAATTTCTGGGGCGTGTTCAATGGCCGCTGACGTGTTAATAGCACGAAGTATACAGTGTTGATAACACTAGCCTCAGCTTAGTGTATTATTAAGAACCTCCTTTTTTCTAACCCAAGTCGCAAATATTGGTGCCACTTTTTATTTCATGCCAGTTTTTACATTCGAACAGTAATAAGTTTACACAGTTGATGCATTTTTAATTCATGAAATGAACCGAAAAAATTTATTTGATTTTGTTTCAAACAACAGGAAAATAATAAAAATTCGATTTCAGAAATTTTCTACCTCAATATAGCTCGTATTTTTTAAAATGCCTAATCTTTAAATAAAGTGGCTTTAAGCTTTGAGATTTGTTACATGCAAAATTAGTGTGGATGCCTTCAGTTTGTTATATTCGAAATGGTTACTTTCTAAATTGTGTCTATTTGTATTTGGTGCCACTTTTGCTGAATTGCATAGGCATTTTGTAAGCATATGTAGCTGCTCTATTCGTGACTAGTGTTAGTCGATGGTTAAGCCTGCGTGGCTGAGTGGCTAATGCGTGAGACTCAATATCTCATGGTTTCAATAGTGCACAGATCGAATCCTAGACCTAGCCGAATTTTTGCTAATTCGAGGCTTATTTCTATTTTCTATTTGTTTACTATAGAGCTGCTTTATGTCGTGTTCTCGCTAGTGTTTGCAAAACAAAGCTTTGCCTCTGTGTTAAAATTATCCGCACCGTATTCTTCAAGCTAATAACGCGTGAGCGGCCCTTTAACCCGCCTCAGAAGTCCGCCTCAGGAGCCTGACTTTTCTCGAAAACTACCCAGCTGAATTTGAGATCAAGATTTTGATCATGGCAACAGGTTGTGGGAAGCCACATTTTATGAAAAAGTTGAATAAAACTTGTAATTTATCAGATTAGGCTGATGTTAGACTTTAAAAAAAGAAGCCAAGACTTTGTTAGACATTTTGCTGAAAATTAATTTAGTGCAATTTTTTTGCAAAATTCGGGACCTTTTTTTTTAAATCATTTTTGGCTTTTTAATCACTCAAAAATTACATCATAACTATCCTTCCATTGCAAAAAAAACGTTGTCAAAGTGAGCCTCTTTTATAGCCACAGTACAACAAAATAATTATAATCTCCTAAAATTAAATTTGATAAATGTTTAACAGTAAACAAATGACATTTTTGGCTATCAAACAAAAATAAATTTATATATACAAATGTGAGAAGATTATGTTTTATCAATTTTGTAGGGCTACAATTTGATATAGTAATATCTGTAATTGAGCCCATATTTTTTGGCTGATCATGAAAGACAAATATTTAAGGGTAAAATTGTTTTTGGGGTTAAAATTGGGCCCGTGTTTCCCAAAGTAAATTGCATCCAGTAATTCTGCTAAACTAATCACGTCGTGTCTTCTAAACAAAATTTCAACGCACTTCGAAAAAAAAAACGTTTTTAAAGTTTTTTGTCCGGGTAGAATAATATTTTTTGAAATCATGGGGCTATGCGCATTTTCATGGTATTTTTTCATCAACCGAATTTTTATTGCATTAAGTGCTCTGTGGTCTAAATATTTTCTACATCAATAACGGTATCAGATCAGAAATTATTTTTTTTCAAAAAATTATAGTCTCTGCTCATAACTTTGAAATTTTTTCGTTTATAAATATCAGTTAATTGTTTTTTGCTTTTTTTCTTCCAATACTTTTTTTGTTTATTTTTCTTTTTCTATATTGTTATTCTTAATTCAATTTTGAGCGGTGTTAATTTTTGTCAGCTTTTTTTTCAGTTAAACGTTTCTGCTTGTGAACAGTTTTTTTGTTACTGGGCTTAAGGATTTGGCTTATCTATAAATTTTTGTTTGATAATAATAGTTGTTATGAAAATGTATGGGATTTGGTTTTTTGAGACGCTTTGGAATTTTTTTCTTTTTTCCCAAAAAATTTATTTATTTTTCTCAAAAACTCTTCATTGTTTTTTTTAAGTAACAAAGGAAAGACCGCCCTTTTAATAGTGTTTTTGACTATTCTCCTAGTCTGTTTTTTTTACCAAACCTCCTTTTTTTACATCCTTAGGGAAAATTTTAACCATAATTTTTGGATTTTGTTTTCACTCAAAAACTACCATCAAATATAAAATGTTGATTTCAATCGATAGCACGGGTTATGAGCAGCTTCCCTGTATAAACCGCTACACCCATTTTTCCACACAAAAGTATTAGCCCTCCGAAAAATGAATTTAAAAAAGTTATGGCCCTCGGAAAAGTGAATGTTTTGATTTCTTGTCCAATGTTTGAAACTTCTGAGACTTTAGATTCAATAGAGAGAACGGGTTGAGGGGAGCTCCTCTGCATTAGCGGCGGCTACACCCAAATCTTTTTACGAAAAAAAAATTGTCCTTGGAAAACTCATAGTTTTTCATTTTTTTTTGTCAAAAACTATCCTCTCAAATCTAGATTGTTATAAAAAGCTGCCGTGCGTTTGCGGCTATGCCCAGTTTTTCATACAAAAAAGTTTTCGTTCTCGGAAAATTCATTTTTGTGATTTTTTGACCGTTTTTTGAAATTCTCGAAAACTTCACTCCCAAAAATGATATTTGAGTTCCATCTAAAGAAAAATTTTTGTGAATTTCCAGTGCATTGGTGGTTACACCCAAAAAAAATTCAAAACAAGTCATGGCCCTCGAAAAACAAGTTTTCCATTTTTCGACCGTTTTTTGAGACTTTTGACTTTTCTCGAAAAACCCTCCTAATGTGAGCTTTTGGGTTCAATCAAAAGAAAAAGCTGAAAGAAGCTCATTTGAATAATTGGCTGTGTCCAAAATTTCTGACAAAAAAATGAGACGCGGTAAAGTCACTATTTTGACGCGGTAAAGTCCGTTGTTTGAAACGTATTGACTTTTCTCGAAAACTACCCAGCTGAATTTGAGATCAAGATTTTGATCATGGCAACAGGTTGTGGGAAGCCATATTCGCGAAAAAACTTTTTATTGGAGAAGCAACTAAGGTTTTGGGTGAAGACCAAGTTTTGAAACCCCGCATCAGTTCAACAAATTCAAAATAAATCAAGCAGGTTCCTCCGGCTTTAGCTGGGATCCTATTCTATTGTTGCACTATCGTGTATCGGATTTTTTTTGTAGCTAAGTTTCCTCAGCAGGCACTTCTCGTGATAATTCAGCTTCTTAAACATTGAAAATTGCCATATCCGAAGTTATAATGTTGCAGGTAGATGTGTTCAAGCTTTTGTTTAATTCGCGTTAAGTGTTTCTTCGACTGAAATAGTTTTGACGTGTTGTATCAACTTAGTTAAAGTATATTACGTTGTTTGAAAAACGAAACTGAATTTCGTTGGTGTGCTTCGGACGACTTAGACTTCGAATTTAAAAAATCTTTGTCCTAAAAATCTCGGCCGTTTTTTTCTTGGATTAACACGCTTTCAACCACTTTTTGTCTGCATAGTAACTAGTCGATGAATTTCAGGCTCAAATAGGTCGTGATAATTTTTTTTTCAGGAAAAGTCTAAGACTGCTCTAATAACAAAAGAAGTGCATTCATACTTATAAATGCGTATATGAATATAAATGCGCTTTGTACGTGTATATATGCCTTTTTGAGTTCAATTCCAGTTCATTTGCTAGAAGGATGGCAAAATTCATTCTTTGAAAGCTGAAATGGCGCAAAAAAAGCATCTAGTTTTAAAGTGTAATTTAATTTTAAGATCTCCCAGCGGAATAGAAACTTTTTCCAATAATTTAGTTGTCTCAAATTGGTTTAATTCTATCAAAACAGTGTCAATTATAAATTCATCTTCAAGTTCAACGAGCTTTACGGCCTTATATTTTTTGTTTGAAATTCGAAAGTAGACGTTTTTCAAAAGTCATTTTTTTCTGTTTCTTTGCGTTCATTTTTTTTTGCTTTTTTTGTTTTTTTTAATTTTCTTTTCCATGTGTCTGTTGGCTGTGTTTATTGATAGAATTCGCGTTTTGCGACAGGTTTTCATCGTATTGTGTTTTTTAGTGGTTTATTGCCTTTTTCATTTTTTACTGGTAGCTTTCGACTACCTTGCCATTTTCTATTATATTGTATTGTAAGTGGCGCGAAGTCTGCTTCGCCTCTGTGTATCATGTTACGAAGAGTTAGAAATTTAAAAGGTGATTGAAGAGTTTGGGTTTTGATTTGAACTTAATTTGCAGGAGAGCAAACAGTTGGACTTGAGTGGGCTGGATGTGTGGAAGGTGACCATGGCTCCAGCAGCTGGCAGTGCTACAGGTGGTCCAGATGGTAACAGTTATGTGGAGGGTGTAGTTGGAGTGGATGAGAGGCTGAAGTATGAGGGTTGTCAGCGGAGTGCGAAACTGGACCACTTGCAGCCCAACACCGAGTACAGACTGAGACTGGTCGCATGCAACAAACATGGATCGAGGTAAGAACCTGATCGTCTCCAACAGTATGTCAACTCGAATACAAAAGCCTGGCAACATTTCCTGTAGCTCACAGTCCATGTGCGCTAGATTGGAAATTTTGGGCAACGGTTTACCAAATTATTCTATTCTGTTGGTTATACTGGAAGCGAAGAATGTGCTGTAGTCTGAAGTAATTAGTATGAAATCGCATGCCGTTGATGTATTCATTAACAATTATAGCAAGTTGGTGCAAGTATTGCAGAAAGTTGCGACCGCCGCTCGTCGAAAAGAGGACCAAATAGGTCAATAAGCTATGGGAATCAATGACAATGGCAAAAACATTTAAAATCTGATGCAGAATATTTAGATTGGAAATACAACGATTCGAGTGGAGGCGAAAGCTTGCAGTCTGTAAAATTAGACGTTTGAAATCAGGGCTTTCTTTTGAGGTAGTCAAAATCCGGGAGAAAACGAACACAGTCTATAGCATAGTCTTTCCCTTCACATAGTGAAGTGGTCGGACGGAACGAAAGCCCTTTCAGAACTTGAACTGACTATTTCGTACATGTTTCAGCGTGCCCAGTTCAGAAGTGATCTTGCGCACTCTGCCCGTGCAGCCTCCGCAGCCAGACCCACCCTCTCTGGTGTATAGAGACACGCATACGATCAGACTGAACTGGAGTGTGTATCTGAACAAACACCTGAAGACACTGGCCAGACAGCATATAGACTTCACGCTGCAGATGGAAGACCAGCAGAACAAGCAGCACGGCTTCATCACCAAGTACTGCGGGCCAGACACATGCTACACTCTCACTAATTTACCCAGAAGTTCCAGCTTTGCATTCAAGGTAACATCTGAATCTCAATAAGGCTAATTTTTGACCTATTTTTTGTATTATAGTTTTCTCGAAAACTTCCAAGACAAATCCGAGATTAAGGATTCTATCAAAAGAGCGTGTGCTGGAGATCTCCCATCTCCTCTGCATAGGCTGCTACGCACTAATTTTAATGGCGATTTACCAAGTTTTTGATAAATAACTTCTTTAAAAACAGTATCTAGAAACAATTCAAACACGGTATCAATATTATATTCTGAAAACTTTTCCGTAATGTGATCAAATTTGCGCCTAAAGAAAATAGTTCTAAGAATTCGCCTTTGCATTAAAAGAATTTTGTTTAAATTTGTCTTGACTTGGACGCACATACATACACTAAGATGCCGTATGATATTAAAGGTTTGGCATAAACTTGATAAAATCTAAGAAGAAATGTTCTAGAAAAAACATTTCTTGCTTTATAAAGAATTCCATTAAATTTAGCTAACTTTTTACAAATATGATCTATGTCTTGCTTAAAACAGAGCTTATTATCTACCACAACCCCTGAAGAAGGTCACAACATTAAGTTTCTGATTCCCCAATAAAATTTCAGATTCTTTTGAACTCCTTCCGAATTTGGATACTTGCGTTTTATCAATATTGATAATTAGTCTTATTTGTGCACCAATTTTCTATCCATTTAAGGTCCTGATTAAATTTTTTATCAATCGAATTGTTTTTACACGTATCATCAGCAAACAGACAAATTGAGCTTTTCGTTACTTTCTTAGGCATGTCGTTAATATAGAGTAAAAACAGCAGTGGACCTAAGACAGAGCCGTGGGGAACCCCGAACGTAATAGTTTTTAGTTGAGAGTTTTTTCCATAAAAAGATACATACTGTTTACGACTGGTTAAATAAGACTGCAGAAAAGTGTTTGTTATACCGCGGAACCCATAGAGATCTAATTTGGTTAGTAAAATGGAGTGATCAATTGTGTCAAAAGCATTTTTAAGATCCACAAAACCCGCTAATCCAGATTTTTTATCATCTATACAGTGACTCACTATTTCGATTGCAGAAGTTATTGCATGCACACAAGAACATCTGCGCCGGAACTCAAACTGTTCAGGCACCAAAAGCTTGCATTTTGATATAAACTTAATCATGCGAATGTGTATAATTTTTTCAAAAATTTTGCTGAAAGTACTTAGCAAAGTTATGGGTCAAAAACTGTTTGGCTCTGTCCGTTTTCCCGTTTTATAAAATGGTAGTACTTTTGCAATTTTACAAATGTATGGAAAAACGCCAGCATTAAAGCATTGATAAAAAAGCAGAAAGTTAAGAATGGCAATATTTTTGGTGCACAAAACTTGACCATCCTAATATTGATGCCATCATGACCATCGGACCAACCGACGAAGTTTTTCAGGAAAATTCTTTTAAAGCGTTGAAAAGACTTTTTGCATTGCTTTGGAAGTTGATTTTTCTATCATAGTAGTTTCTCTTGGTATTACGCATCAACCGATTGACTAATTTACACTGAGTAAAAACAGCAGTGGACCTAAGACAGAGCCGTGGGGAACCCCGAACGTAATAGTTTTTAGTTGAGAGTTTTTTCCATAAAAAGATACATACTGTTTACGATTGGTTAAATAAGACTGCAGAAAAGTGTTTGTTATACCGCGGAACCCATAGAGATCTAATTTGGTTAGTAAAATGGAGTGATCAATTGTGTCAAAAGCATTTTTAAGATCCACAAAACCCGCTAATCCAGATTTTTTATCATCTATACAGTGACTCACTATTTCGATTGCAGAAGTTATTGCATGCACACAAGAACATCTTATATTGATGCCATCATGACCATCGGACCAACCGAAGAAGTTTTTCAGGAAAATTCTTTTAAAGCGTTGAAAAGACTTTTTGCATTGCTTTGCAAGTTGATTTTTCTATTATAGCAATTTTTTATAGAGTAAAGGTATCCAGGTTTTCAAAAGGTTTGATAAGCGATGGTTGAGTAGAAAAAGCAGTTTACATGCCGTAGTCTCCTCCAATAAACATTTGAAATCTCGATATTTTCTAGGAGTATTAATTTCAAAATGCCTTTCTAGATCAGTTTTAACCAGCAGGGCGTAGTGATCACTAATAGTGCATTTCAATGTTGATACCTCGTGATGCATATTTGCTAAAACATGATCGATACATGATGAGCTATGGGTAGTTTCTCTAGTCGGTTCTTCGTTTAACAACTTCAAATTGAATGATAGGAGTAAGTTTTTATAGTCAACTAAAAAAGAGGAATTTACCAAGATATCAACGTTAAGATCACCACAAAATAATTTTTCTTCTTTGCTTCTTTGATCTGAGATACATCATGAAGTAAGGAATTCAAATGCAACAAAAAATATCCTGATTCATTGATGTTGTTTTGTATAATACGCAAAAGTGGCTTTTTCGAATGATCATTTTCAACAGTTATCATTAGATTTTCAATATCATTATCAAAGCTTTCTGAAGAAGCCGTTAAACCATTTTTAACAAAGCAAGCAATACCGCCTCTCTTTTAACCAACCCTGTTTTTGTTATGATTGTCTGATAGCCATCAATGCTGTAAAGTCCTATTGGATCATTATCAGTGAGCCATGTTTCACATAAAGCTATCAATGCGTGAGCGTTTTTTAGTCTGCCTAACTCCACTTTCAATAGATCATGATGGAATCTAAGTGATTGTATATTGAGAAAGAAAAGATAATCTTTCTCAAGTATTCCACTTTTTACCCTCCACGATAAGTCTACCATAATAAAATGAATTAAAAAGTTTTGTTTTAATTTGAATTTTTTACGTCAGTTTCCTCATCCGAGGTATTCTGAAAAGTCTCCAGTTTGTTGCTTTTTGATTGCGGAGATAAACTTGTTGATATCACAGTCTCCAGTAAGGTGCAGATTTTATCCAACTTTTCATCAGCATTCAACTTCCTTTTTGTACTCCCTTTCTAACAGTACCCTATAATTGCGGTTCCAATACATTAGTTTCCATATTCAAATCCAATGCACCAGTAGAAAATTTGCTATCATTTTGCCGAATCGGAACAAAATTACTCGATCTCCTTGCACTTTTCTCATATTCCAATAAGCTATGCCGGTTACTTTATCTACATCATTTTTAGAATTAATTTGAACCCAGCTCTCACCAATTTTCACTGATGGTTGACAATTGTTTGTTGTTACCAACAGTTGATGATCCTTTGCGTAGTTTACAACATCACGATCCCACTCAGCAAGCCGCTCCACTATGTACACATGCTTGGTTTTATCATGCCTCATGAGTTCCTTCCTATTTCGCCAAAGCAAGTCCTTTTGATGATGATACAGGAATTTAATTATGATTGGTTTTACCTGATTTCTGCTAGGTATTTCTGTTACCTTATCTGTATGTCTGTTGATGTGAGAATCAGCTTCGGACTTAGTAAATATCCAATTTTCGAGATTTTGAAGCATTTTGAAAATAACATTTCGAAAAGAATTATCAAACAGGTATCTCCAGCTGTAGCTGAGCTTCTAGTTTTTAACTTGTGTTATGTAGGAGGTGATTTTTTGCGTGATTTTTGTTTATAAAACGAGGTTCGATTCAGGCACATGACAGAATTTTAGTTCGATTTTTTTGTTCCTTTTTGGCACATTTAGAGCTTTTTTGTAGGTGTTTGCGAAGGGTAGCTTTGCCTCTGTCATATATGGAATGCATTTCTAGAAGCGTTAACCTTGAACCCAGTTAAACGTATTGGTATACTGATGAGAGAATAAAAAATGAATGATGGCGAACGTTTTCTCTCACGGTTTACCTTGTCATCAAAAGTTTCAAATTTCTAAATTTTTTTATTTCAAACATTGAGTTTTGTAACAAAAAAGTAATGGTGGTTTTATACAGAAACAACAGTAAACAGCTTTGTCCACGGGATGACTGAAATTTGAAATAGGAATAAATCTCCAAATGCATCTCTATTCCTACTCAAGATGCACGTCTAACTTCAGAGGATCGAAAAAAGTTCGCGTGTGTGTGCTCTGAGTTTTTTTTATTCGTTTAGAATGTTTTTGAATTTTTTTCGGCATGGAAGGTTTCTGCTCAGGTTTTTTCGGCTTTGTTACCGCATTGTAATTATAAATTCAAATTCAATAAACCATCTGTCGTAAAGGTGATACAACTGCTTGAGACCGCTTTTTTGTTGACAAAAACATTTTTTTTTTTTGATTTTTTTCTTCAAATGTTTCCGTTTGATTTAAATCAATTTTGTACCACAAGTGGTGCGAAGCTCAGCTTCGACTCTGTGTTTTAATGTATCACGCACAAAAAACGACACGATAAACGATTTGGAAAATAAACTATCTAAGAATATCGTCGGAGCATTCTGTGCTACTTGTACAGCAATCCAGCTATCCTTGTTTTTATTTGTGTTCAGTTGTTCGCGGAGACTGCTGCCTCGAGTGTGCGTAGTGTGTCAAGTGAGGTGGCCACTTTCTGCACTTTAAACAGTGTGCCTCGTGCACCCACCGGACTCAAGTGTGTGGATGTGACATCGAATAAGTGCTCCTTGGAGTGGGGTGAGTAGCCAACTCAACAATCTATATTAGCATTATTCCACATCGCAACCAAAGAGTCTTTAAAAAGCGAAAAATATTTTGTAGCCATTATAGTTGCAGAAATTATTCATTTCTTTTCTCGTGGTTCCAAAAATATCTTGATGTCTTATTAGAAGATACAAATTCTATGGCAGTAATAGGCGGATGCACAAGTAAAATCTGCAAGTTTCGAAAACAATGATTAGTTGGTGCTCAAAACTTCTACCATATACATTGAATTTTTTGTTCATTTCAGACCGAATAGTCGACGAAGACGGTGTGTTAAAACTTCCTCTATCCAATTTTCTGTTGCTTATTACCATCTCTAAGTCAATAACCAGTGAACTAAATATAAACGTTAACCAATGCGAGTGCAGAGTTAAACAGAAATTGATTAAACTGTCTCCACTAGTACTGACTTTTTAAATGTCAAGACTTTTTATTTGAGTGGCATCAACAGACAGACATACAAAAAACATACAAAAATTTAAATGGCAGCACTTTTTAAATACCCATTTTTTACGCTAGATATGTATAAATTTTTGAATAAAAAATTGATTTTTCTTGTCTAGCATAACTTATTTGGAAATAATTAGAATACAACTTGAAGTGGCATAGGGATTTAAAGTAGCTTTAAAGCTGTTAATCAATTGGAAATTTGCCAACTGGTCTGAAAGCCGCTTATTCTACCTAGCACATCCCTTTTTGATTGACAGAGGGGGTATCAAGGAAGTGTCGCACGACTGGTGGATATTAACCGGAGATACTCTTACCACTATCACGGAAATGAAAAGATCCTGGGTTGAAACGTGAAACTGCAAAGCAGGATTTTTGAACTACTTACTATATTTAATAAAGTATGGTAAGGCTCTTTTTCCATCCCCCACCTGCAAATTTTTATTATAAAAATAACTGTTCACATTGTTCGATCGTCATGAAAATTGGCATGCTGACTAATTAGGCCATGACAAACATATTTCTTCTTCATAATTAACCTTGTAAAACCACTCCTCAGACCGTAAAATTAAGATTAAGACCATTTATCCACGATGTTGGCAGAAAGGACCAACAAAAGAGCTGTACAGCTCATCACGGCGACCCGCTAATGTGCTCCTGATTAAGAACTACGAACTACATGCAATTTTTTTGGTTATTTTTCTGGGCTGAGTAATGTTGCTTCACTCTCAAGCAACGAGCACGGCTCATGGTGGGCCTCGAACTTCCGACCTTTCGATTGAGAGGCGGAGACGTGACCACTTCACCACCGCTCCCCTTTGATGCCCGTGTGAGGTAGGGGGAAATGGAAAAGAGCCTACGGTAGAAAAAAATAACATATCAATTAACTTACATTTTTTCCTTCGTTTCTGGCATTTAGAATAAATTTGACGGGATATTCGGCTTATTGCTAATTTAACCGTTTAAGGTACAATATTCATGATTGATTTGGGTTAATTGTACAATAAATTGGGGTTAATTGATTGGTTACGGGAAACAATGACCAAACTTCGTACCCTTTTTATACGTTTTTAAAATTCGCTCTCGTATCTGAGAATGTGTCAAAAATTTGACTTTTTCTTTTAAATTGCTCATAAGTTACTAAATTCTGCCCTGTTCGCCAAACTTTGCTCTCTCTGCTGCTCTTTTTTTAAAAAAAGTTTCTGCCCTATGAGGCATATTTTGCTAATTCTGTTGCTAGCAGCTCTACTGGGCCTGGCTGTAAATGCTCAAATTCTTAATGTCATCTATTTTACCAGACAGCGGAATAAAGTACCTTGAAAGGTCAAACTGTGAATTTTGCAGGCAATTTTAAGACTTTTTTGCTTAATCTTTAAATCTTACCTTTTTGCTTAATCTGAATTAGAATGCATGCTCATGAAGGTGGTAGCCGTCTCGTTTTTTAGAAAAAAAAACAATATTAACGGTGTTTTATAACATGCTCTGCTAACATCAACTTATCAACTGCAGGTGTGTGTGCGGGTATTCAATAATGATGACCTTTACCATTATTAAATGATGTACAGCTGACTGATCTAATCAAGTATATTATTTCTCTGTCCCTTTAAACTAAGTTTGTCGAATTAATTTTTCTTAAATCTACTGTAGAAATGATTTGAAAAACTGGTGAATAGTATAGGTTTTACTCAAGGTATTCCTTAAGAAAAAATTGGAACACAATTTATATGAGTTGTAGCGTTAAAACGAAGGAAGTTGTTACTTGATGCAATTTGTCATCTTTGGGGACAAAAGTGCTCATGGGTTTTGAAGTGTCTGAACATGAAAGTTGTTGTGCGATTTGGGCAAAGAACTTGTTGATGATAGTGATGTGAAATGAATCACGTGTTACATGGGGCTATTTGGCAATTAACCTGTTCTGCTATGTGTGTAGAGAAGCCGAGTGACGACGGGGGAAGTGCCGTGGTGGAGTACATCGTGGAGAGAAGTATCTCGGGGGGTCTGTTTCAGGAGATCTACCACGGGGACGATGTCACTCTCCCCATCTCCTCCCTCTTCCCAGGCATGGAATACCACTTCAGAGTTGCAGCTGTCAACTCGGTCGGAAAGGGAAAGGTACAATACGCCACACTCGGCATAAGCTAGCTGCATCTTACTGTGCATGAGATAGATATACAAGCAACTTGCACGAAAAACTTCTTAATGCTAAAACATGTGTGAATTTTTATACGAAAAAGTGGTACATAGGCCTTTTTCGTCTATTACAAGCAATTTTTTTTACAATCGGATACCAGAATTATCCTTGTAAATGTCTTTTTACCTTCTTAAACCAGTTGCAGTTTTTGGGGGTTTTCGACCCCCCTGACACCTGAATGAACCTTCCTTTTGGTACTATTTTACCTCATCCATTTTGACTGACTGACCATTAAATTTTCTGAAGGAGCCAATATAGACTAATTTTGAGGGAGCAGATAAATTTTGAGGAGGGTTTTAGACTAATTTGACATTTTTTCAATTCTGCGGCGCAAAAATTTCTGCAAATATAGTGTCTTGATAGTGCTCGAGGAGAGCTGGAACAATCAAATAAGTCCATCCAAGAAAATGAAGAAAAAATTTAAAACATCCTAGATCGGCGCCTGGCTGACACACTAAGCAGGTATTCGCACGCAAGTTCTCAAAAATCAAACTGAGCTAGTGTTATTACAATCGTTTGGTTGATTTTTTTTCTTCATATGATTTTTCTAGTGATTAGACTGTCATATCAAAATATTTTCGGCGCATCTTTATTAAGAGTCGATGAATATAGTCCAGACTCTTATTTAGGTGGTGATAGTTTTTCTTGTTTTTTTTTCAGAGCTTTCAAGTCTAAGTTATTTCTCGATTTTTCTTCACTGTCGTTCCGTTTTTTTTTGGGAAAAGAAAAAGTTTGAGTGCATATTATTGGAGCTTTTTGAAATTGGTCCAAGTTCTGATTTATTCTGGTGAAAGAACTCAGTGTTCAATTGTTTTTAGATTCAAAATTACGACAGGTAATTTGCTTACTTTAGGGATTATTTTTCAAGTGTCGATGAACGTAGTTTAGAGTTCATATAGATCGCGATGATTTTTTTTTCAGGAAAAGTGTCAAAATTTGTTCAGGCTCAAATTTATTTTCTCGTGGTTTGATTTTTGATTTGTTTGTAAATTCAGCTCATTTATTTTGTCAAAAGAAAGGCAAACTCCACTATCGAGCAGCAAACGTGTACAGGTCACAAAAAACGTGATTTAATTCTAATTTCGAAAATGGAATTTAATTATCAGATTTCCCAGCAAAATGAAAATTTTACCGTTTGACCTAGTTCTCTCAATTTGGGTTAATTTTATCATAAAAGTGCCCATCATAAATTGCTCTAGAAATTCAAAGAGTTTTACCGGCATCTACTTTGAAATTCGAAAACTGAGATATTTACAAGTCAGTATTTTTTTGTGCTTACTTGCGTTTATGAACTCTTTTCCAACTGTCTGTTGGCTATGTTTTTCATATTTCAATTCCACGGTTTTTCTCGCTTCTTGATGTTCTTTCAGTGTCATTTAATTTAGAAAAAAAAAATTGAATGATTTGTGCCGTTGAATTCTGAGAAATGGTTAAACTTGGTTCCAGTTTCGTTTTGTTCTGGGGAGAAGCTTCGTGTTCGGTTGTTTCTCTAAATGTAAAATAAGGTATGACAAAGAAATGTCTTGCAAAGTCTTTTGATAGTTCATATCATCTCTTCTTTAATTGTGGTTTGAGCACTGTCGAGAAAAGTTTTTTCTAAAAATTTATTTTGCAGACTAAATAGCACCATTTATCACTATTCACTGTTCCTCTCATATGAAAAAATAACCTATAGTTTAAGTTTTATTTTCTGCGAAGATAGTTGCGATAGGAACTTCCTGTACCTATTTGTGAGACATTTTGTGTCTCATTAGTGCATAACTACTGCATTTTGAGAGTTTGTTTGTGTCACAATATCTAATTTTTGAAACAATTTTTCTTGACTAGCGATTGTTTGTGTTTGAGTTTTTGGTCTATATTGTAAAACTTTTTCAAGTGATGATTTTTATCTCCTAATGGACCGCAAGTAGTATCAAGGTCAGTTGTGCCTCTGTGCATTGATTATGGAAGCAAAAACTAAGTTGGCATCCATTGTGGCTCTAAAATTTGCACCAGTCGTGCTAAAGGCTTGCAGACAATCGATTTGCCTCTCGTTGATTTTTTCAATGAACCGATTGATTGCTCTTTTGTTCAGTTCTCGACATCCTGTCTCTGCTACACGCACCCAGTCATCCCCAACCAGTGCAATCCACCAGTGGTCAACGGCAGAATCAAACCCCAGAATGTTCATCTCTCCTGGACTCCCCCGGACTATGACGGGGGCTCCCCTATCATGCAGTACGCAGTCAAACAAATAGCGAACCTGGACAAGCCGGAGACTGGAGTGGAGATTAGCAGGGACTTCAGCTTCGAGGTGCTGGTCTGTGAACTGAACCCGGGCAGTGTGTACGGATTCAGTGTCTGTGCCATCAATTCAGTCGGGGTAATTCTTCAAATTATACTTTTAGGCAGCCTTTGTTACCAAACAATTGTAATTAATTTCTGCTATTTATCTAGAGGTAGCAACTTGGCTTGTTAAGGTCGCGTTGCTTTCAAGCAACGAGCATGGTGTCATGAAGATTTGTAAACAAACCATTTTTTGAATATTTTTACAAGCAGGTGAATCTTTATTACATGGAAGCCTGAATTCTGTGATTTTTCGAAATAGTGTGGCAGGTAGTTAAGTCTGTTGTTGTTATGATTGAGATTGCATAAATATTAATGTGGTTGATTCAAGGCTGGTCCCTGGTCTGTTCCTGCAAAAATCAGAACTGCGTCCGACAAACCATCCGCACCGGAGCCACCCAGAGTCGTCTTCAAGTCAGCAACCCATGCCAAAGTGTCGTGGACTGTGCCAAAGCATTCGAACGGGAGCAAAATCACCGAGTACAGACTGGAAGGCTGTGAGACAAAACGAACATCGTCATCTCATGTCAAGTTTGAAGGTAGCCTTGCACTCATATATTTTATAGTGATTTAAATTTTCTATAGGGCTTAGTGATTTTTTTTTTCAAGAAAAGTCTTGAAACGCTCTAATAACTACAGATGTACAATGTGTATCTTTAATACATATTAAAGCATTTATGACTGTACTTAGATATGTTTTTTTTTAGTTCAATATATATTCATCTGCTGAATAATAGATAATTTGCACTCTCCGAATACGAACGTGGAAATGGCGCGAAAAAACGTGAAGTTATTCCAGTGTTCTCAAATTGAGTTAATTTTATCAAAAAGTCTATCATAGTTTTGTTTTTGAGTTTCAAAGAGGGTTAATGCCAAATATTTTTTACTTTTAAATTCGAAAGTTGAAGTTTTTTCAAGTCAGTATTTTTTTTCTGTTTCCTTGAGTTCATTATTTTTTTCCAAGTGACAGATGGCTATGTTTACACATGTGGAGCGTAATGTCATATCACGATATCCATTTTGTTCCAACCAAAGTCACTAATAAAGCTTGATGTACTTTTTGCAACAATAACTTAATATTATATCTTTGTATCTGGTTTATTGATTGCTGCTGTTTTAAGATTGTTTACTGAACATAGCACAGATCTAGGACGTTTGACTAGTTGGGGTTCGATTCCGTCATATACAAGATTTTTTATAAGTTTTACCTTTTTTCACTTTTTGACTCTTTCAGAGCTCGTTTTTGTCGTTTTTCGCTTGTGCTTGCAAATTTGCACCTTCGTATCTGTGTTATAAATAGCTTTGGTTATCTTATTGGTACAAGCGGAGCTTGTGCTAAAATATGAACGCGGATTTCTTCTAAAGAGTAAATCTTTATCTGGAGCTCCGGTTTTGAGTTCCGTTATCACCAGTGTTTTTGTTTTCGATGCTCACTAAATGTCGATGAACGAAGTGGAGACGCTGATTGGGGTCGTGTTTTTCATTTTTAAGTGTCAATAAACACACAGAAGAAAACATAAACTTGTCAATAAACTGAACTTAGAAAAAAATCAAAAACAATCTGAACAAACTTGAAAACCACCTTTACGACAGGATATAGGTCGCAATGATTTTTTTTCAGGAACTCACCCTAAACTTTTTTCCCACTCAATTTGATTTTTTTTCGGTTTGATTTCTGTTTTGCTTCAGCGTAGTTCTCTGTTAAAAGCAGGGCAAATTCGAATATGGAATAGCCAAATATCTATACTTTCTAGCGGGTTTTTATAAAAACCTGTTTCCCATTTTTGCTTAATTTATTTATAAAATAACAACCATAAATTGATTGTGAAATTTGAAGAAGAGTTGTAATGGTATATTCAATTTGAATTTCGATCGTTGTTAAAAAAGCCAGCAAGTTTTTTTCGTTTCTTTTTATTACGCAACGAAATACTGACTTGTTTTTTCAGCGTCAACATTCGAATTTTAAAGAATATATGTCCTTAAAGCTCTTTATGCTAGCGAAATTTCGAGCGTTAGCGTATTAATACGAACCTTCGTTTTTTAAACCTAACTCTTAATACGAACATTCGTTTTTTTAACCTAACTCTCTAATAAAAAAGTTCATTAAAAGTGTTCGTTTTGTGGCACTTTTGCTTTAATCATAATCTGTAGCATTGGAAAGTTCAAAGTATCTGTTTTCCGGTTTTTATTTGGCTAGTGTTTGGCGTTAATTGAGCGTCCGTGGCTCAGTGGTTAGTGCGTGAGGCTCATGGTCTCTAGGTCGTAGCGGGTCGTAGGTTCGAATCCGAGTCGTAGCCGATTTTTTTTAGTAATTCCTGGCTTATTTGTACTTTTTCTTCTTTCCTCTTATAGAGCTGCTTTTGTCGTGTTCTCGCTAGTGTTTGCGAAGCGAAACTTCACCTCTGTGTCTGGTTTTACGAGCAATTGTTGATTGATACTTTTTTGATAAATTATCCCGTGATTAGAAATAGGTAGTTTTGTTTAATCCGCTTGGAAATCTGACTAAATCATAAAGGAATTTGCCTTGCTTTTAACCATGAATTGAAAAGAAAAAAGTCAAACCGTGAAAAATCATGAGTGATTCAAATTTTAAGATGATTTCCTGAAAATAAGTCATCACGACCTATATAATCTTTCACACTTTTCCATCGTTCTGTTCGAAGTTTTTTTTTGCGGTGGGGAAAAATTTTCGATGTTTCGCGGTAGAGGCGTTCAGCAATGCCAAAAATCAACCGTTCCGAAACTGAAAATGTTTTCAACATCGTCAAAAATTGATGATATTTGAAAAATTGGAGCTCTATTTTTGAAATGTTGACGGTTTTGCTTGAATATTGTTTAAAAATACGATGAAATTAGCTCAGACTCAATTTGGCCGCGATGATTTTTTCGATTTTTTTTCTCAAGAAGAGTTATCAAAAATTGTTCACGTTCTAGTTCGCTTTTTCGCGGTTTGCTTTGATTTCTTTTTGAGTTCAGCTCATTTCCTTTGTTAAATTGAAGAGAAACTCCATTAGCGAACAGCAAAAAATTAACGGTAACGGAAAACGTGATCGGCTTCTATTTTTGAAAGTGGAACTTAATTTTTAGATTTGCCAGCGGGTTAAAAATTTTACGTATTGATACAATTTTTGCAAATTGAGTTAAGTTTATCCAAAAAATGTCAATCATAAATTGTTCTAAAACTTCAAAAAGCTTAAAGATTATCTATTGTTTTCTTTGAAAATTATAGATAATCCATAAAAATTAATTTTTTTAATTTTTAAAAATTAAGTCAGTATTTTTTCTTAGTTTGACTGTCTTTTTTCTTACTTTGACTGTGTTCATTGACTGTCTTCCAACTGTCTGTTGGCTTTGATTTGTTTTTTAGCCAAACCGACAAGACATTTGACAGTTTGCTGAGATAATTTTATGTTCCGAAGAATTTTGATGCATCTCTTGAGGAACTTCCGTTTTGTGTAACAAGCCGCATCAATCAAAATAGCCATTTTTGTCTTTTCAACTTCCGTCTTTTTGCATCTAATTACTTGTTGGTGATATGGGATGAGTAAAAACGGTGTTCCAAATAATTTTGGGCGCCGGTGAACATGATTTTGGGAATTTCCGCAATGTTTTACTTCTGCACTGTTGTACTGTCCCTACGAGGTTTGTGTTTTGATTTCTTTGTTCAAATTCATTTGTTGAATTGAAGCCTACAAAAAACAAAAATTACACGAAAAAGGTGATTGAGTTTTAATTTCAGAAGTAGATTTTATTTTTTTAGATTTCCCTACGGAATAAAAAACTTTTTGATGCAGTGTTTACACAATGTATCTTGCGAGCATTGTGTTATAATACGAGTTTACTTGTTTCCCAGTCCGAGTCGTATAGTACTTGCCATTTAATAGTATGTGTTCTCCGCTTTGTTACTGTCGACTTGGATACTCCAGGGGTTTGGTTTGACTCCCGTTGAAGGCATTTGGTTTTTTAACTTATAAAATATCTTTCTTGGCGTTTTGTTGCTTTTTTGCGAAGTTCCGCTTCGCCTTTGTCAAGTCGGGTCAGCTTTATCCAAAAAAAATTCCTGATAAAAGATTCTTTTAATTCAAAAAGCCTTAAGATGATAATGGAAACAATTTGTTGTTTTTTATGAAGTTTTTTTCCTTTAAGTCAGCCATTTTCACAGTTTTCTTGTGTCCATTGGAATTTTTACAACTGACTGTTGCCAATGTATTATTTTTTCGAGGCTCCTTTTTGTTTTTCTTCCATTTAAGGCTTTTTTCCGAATATTCGTTTTTGTTTTGCTTGAATTGGGACTAGGAGTGATTTGTGCTATCATTATCTTTTTCGAGCTGATTTTGATTTCTTGTTTCTGGTCGCTTCGATTGATAACAAAACTTTTGGCATTTATTGCTGTGGCAAAATATTTGTAAGTCGCTAAGTGCTGTTTTAGTATGAGTATTGCTTTTTGTGTAGTGTGCAGTGCAATCACCGGCTCTAAGTCTCCTCTTTCGGAAGAGGTGGCGGCTGCTGCATCCCTTTCTAATCTTCACATGTCATCCGCATCATCATCCAGCAATAAGGCAACAGGCGGTACTGGAGAGGGCCATCAGTCAATGAACTACCGTAATCACGCTTCCACCTCCCGGTATGGGGCTGCATACGGAGGGGCCAAGGAGGACAACACACGCCAAAGACACTCGGCCGCCACAGCAGCTTCCAAAAATAACAATAACAATCAAAACAGCAACTCAAATAATAATGGTTGGTTTCAATGATACTTCATTCAGAAATAAGTTGTCATCATTCGTGTTTAAGGAACTCTAAAAAAATAGACTTGAATTATCATCAAGAAAAAATTTATGAGTATTGCAGCTTTTGATGACCATGCAAAGGAGTTAACTTAGATGTCAGTTACAAGTAAATAAAATCTATACTTTAAATTTATTCGAAATTTGAGCTTGGTGCTGCTTTCAGGAGGGAACTCTCCTACATTCTATCTTCTGTACAATGGGACAAAGCTCTCGTTCGACTACACAAACATGAAGCCGGCCACCAAGTACGCGTTCAGAGTGCAGGCTGTTAACGAGATAGGTGCCAGTGTGTTCAGCAAGGAGACTGAGATCGAGTCCCCGATTAGTCAGCCAAACATTGTGGAGAAGATATTTGCAGATAAAGGTGAGCTAATCCACATTCAAATGGTGTTTAAAATTCTCAATTTTGTGAGCTGGTACAAATATGAGAGTGCATAAATTGTTTCACGCGAATTGAGTTGACCGAAGAAAGAACGCGTAAAAATTAATAATCAAATTTGTTTTTATTATGAAGCCATATAATTGATTTTGTGAATTTTAGGCGGAATATCAAGTCTCAGAATGTTGAACTTTCTGGCCTTCCTTTTTTTTATAAATTACACGAAAAGTTAAACGAGCTTAGTCGGGTCAGATTTTTTAGCCAAAGATATCAAACTGATCCGGTCAAAAAGTTGTTTGCTCAAACATGTACTAGTACAAAAAAGTTGCGAAATTGACATGTGGTTTATCAAATAAGAGTTGCGTTATTACTTGCCTAATTACACTTGCGAAACAAAGGTTATTAGTAACAACTTTATTTTTTTCCAACCTAAGTCGCAAATAAAATGTGCTACTTTTGGTGGCATTTTTGAATCGAAAGGCTGCGGTAGCAGTATAATCTCATGTGCTTTCACATTTGATTAGTGAAAAATTAACATAGATGATGCATTTTTATTTCATTAAATGAACCAAGAAAAGCTGTTTCAAACAGCAGTACGATGATAAAAAGCTCGAATTCAGAAATTTTCCAACTTTTGCTGTATCAAATTAGCAATTTATTAGCATATCTAGTTGCGTTTTTAGTGGCTTGTTTTTTTTGGGATTTTAAGCCTCCGTGGCTGAGTGGTTACTGCGTGAGACTCATATTTGCTAGGTCGCAGATTCGAATCCGACACGTAGCCGAGTTTTTTTTGCTAATTCGAGGCCTATTTTTTTCCATTATTTCTCTTGACAGAGCTGCTTTTTGGTCGTGTTCTCGCAAGTGTTTGCGAAGAGCAGCTTCGCCTCTTTGTAAACTAGGTGTTTTTAAGGAAAATTGTCTTAAAAGTGTTTCGCTCTCAAGTTTGTTTTTTTTGGCGCTTTGACTTCTGATTTCTTCTGATCAATTTGATAATCTAAATGGGAGGAAACTTAAGTTCTTCAATGGAAAAGTGCATATGGCGCGGAAAAATTTTTTAAATGAAAATTGCAAAAGTGGATTAGCATTTTCAGCAATCCCGGTGGAATGAAAAAATATCTTCTTATGATCCAGTTTCCTCAAATGACTTGTTATCGTGTACTAGACTATTTCACCGTGAACAACAAGAAGTTACACTTGCTCGATTATTGAAATTAAATTATTTCAGTATCCTTCTCACTTGGTCCTACGGTAACGCGGGCCCCTTTGCACCCTAAGGTCTGGAGTTCCGATCAGGCCTCGTTTTTTTCGTTTGTCTGCTCATTTTTGTAAGAACTTAACTTCCAAAGCAGATATTTTTCTTCCAATTGAAACATTTTTTTAACTATAATTGATGGTCGTTTTGTTATTTGTTGATTTACCATTTCAGATCTTAATTTTAAAATAGGTTTCGACCTATTTTATATCGGCTTACTGGCCTCATATTGTTTCATTTGAATTGCAAATCGGAACTAGTCCATTTCAAAATTAAATTGTCGGCGTATTATTGTTTGCTTATGTTTTGTTGGCTGAGTTACCATATTGTCGAATATTTTTTTTCAATTTTTTTTTTCTATTATAGTTGCTTTCTGATTTACCTCTGCTGTTTGTAGTTTTATTGACCTTGACTTCGTACATTTTTTTCGCTTTCAATTTTTTTTTCTGCCCAAATGATTTTGGTCTGTTTTTTATCGGTTAAATGACCTAATTTTGAGTCATTTCAAAGGAAACATAGTTTTTATGCTCAACTCTGGATCGCATAAATTTCAAAAAATTTTAATCGAAATTATAGTTTGTCTTTCATGAAAAATTTTTTCCTTTTCGTTTTTTTTGCAGCTTGATAGGTTTCGGCCTATATTTTATAGGCTTAGTAACCTCATATTGCGTCTTTCGACTAGCGTTAATAGATTGTGTGTGCGTGTCTTTTTTATAAGGGTGAAGGGGACTTAATCGCTTTTTATTAGTAGTAAAAAAAGTTTGAATTTTTTCGGCTTTGCCCTTTTTTGGGCTTTATAGGTTTCGACCTATTTTATATTGGCTTACTGGCTTCATATGGTTTCATTTGACTTGCAAATAAAGTTTTTTGAGTGTTTTTATACTTTGAGGGTGAGGGGGACTTATTAACTTTTCATAAGTTTCAAGACTTGTTGATTTTTTTGGCTTAAAGGGTTTCTGACAAGGTATTTCTGGCTTTGTTACCGCTGTAAACATTATGTTCTGATTATTATTTCACATTCTATTGGCTTGGCATATTTTTGTTTCAAAAGTAGTATTTTTCATTTTGATAGATCTAGTTTTTTCGACTTTTTTGAATTTTGTTTCAATTTTTTTCTTGTTTTGCATCGCACGTGGTGCTCAGCTCAGCTTCGCCTCTGAGTAAAAAAAGTACATTAGCCGAGCAATTTCAATGTTTTGGGATCTGATATTCTCTCTGAAATTCAAAATCAATTTAGGGACATTTCCAGGGGCACGGATCTAAAATTTTCTCTCGGGGGAGCGGTTTTTCAAAAAAAATTTTGTCGACCTTTTTTTTTAATTCAAGCAAATTGATTTTGAAAAAACAGGCAAACTTTCGAAAAACAGGCCAAAGCGTGCGTTTTTAGGCACCATTTGGAAAACTTTGATTTAAAAAAAAGCGTTTTTTCGGAGCGCGCTCCCCCCTCAAAATTTGTATATATCTCAAAATTTATAGTCAGTCAGCCAAAAATGGATATCTCAAAATAGTATGAAGGGGACCCTTTGGGTTGACAGGGGGTCGAATCCCTGAGGGGGGCGTTCTTGATTTTGCCCCCAAGTTGCAGCTAATTTTCTCCATTGTTTTGCAGGTGCAGACTGGATATCGGTTAGGTGGCATGAGCCAGAGTGCAATGGGGCCCAGATTCTCTCCTACAACATAGAGTGTGCGAGACTCAAGTCCAGCTATTACGCCTCCTCCTCCTCCTCCGGTGCAGCCTCCTCCCTCTCTCTCCACTCGCCCAAGAGGACGATCCCAGTCGTCATCGGAGACAAGAACCAGCTGCAGTTCCCAGACGAAAAAGTGGCTCACATTCATAGGTACGATTTGGCTTTGGCAAACCGAAAAGGTTACACTTTTTAACAAAAAAGAACCAGCTGTTTGTCTTCATTTCCAAAAATTTTATAATTTCACTGATAGAATGTGAACCTCAAGTCAATTTTTTTTTCAAATCCAAGCGAAACCCGTCAAAGCCATTTTTAAATATAAATCATATAGGTACATATTATATAGGTAAATCATTGGGGTACTTGTGTTAGGTACATGTGCGAGGACACTTGTTTCACGATGAGGAACTTGAAGAGTGACTGTGAATACTTTGTAAGAGTGCAAGCAACGAATGAGAGGGGAGACAGTGAGTTCAGCACTCCAATCAGTGTACACACTCTCAGTGTGCCTCCGGACCCACCCCAGCTGGAATGTGTGAATGCCACTAGTAGTAGTTTGAAGCTGAGGTGGACTGATCTGTCGAACAGTTGCAGCAAGGATCTCAAGTACCACTTGCAGATGGAAGACAAAGCAGCCAGGTAAGCTATAGTTTTTTCAAATAAATCTTTAGAAACCCTAGCCTCCCAAGCCGGAGTGTTTTTCACGCAAGGAGTTTCGTGTCAGATTTTCTTAAATCGAAATGCACCAAAAAAAAAATACAGACAACTTATTCAATTGCTTCTCGGTAAATAATAATTTTGGAATCTACAGTTAAAATAGGGAAGCTTCGATTTGTAAAATTACTAGAAAGATAGACTATTTCATGAATTGTACTTATTGGTGGCCACTCAACGATCTGCAATTAGAAGTGATTTTGTGGATTTAGATTCGTGACTACGTTCTCGGGTGCTGCAGTATCTTACAAAGTGATCAAGTTGCAGGAGCAGACGTCCTACACATTCCGCATCAACGCCTCCAATGACGCCGGCTCGGGCCCCTTCTCATCTCTCTACAGTTTCACCACCACCAAGAGTCCACCACCGCCCATCAAAGGTGGTAAAAATCAACACATCACCTTCTTAACACTTTTGTGATTTCACCTCAAAAATGCTTTGTTGACCATGGATTTACTCATTAGCAAAAATGGTTGAAGGCTTAACTCGAGTCTTGCTAAATAGGTTAATCGATGAATTTAAACTTGCACTTCCAATAACTTGGTAGAGTTTGAGAGTTTTTCTTTTACTGAAATGTGATGCGGCCATTAAAATTGACCAGAGCAGCTGATGGAATACCCAAACAAGTGCGATATTTTATCTGTTTTCCTGTCTTGTAGTTGCAACTTGGTACCTACCGGTTATTAAATGATTTTCTCTGTGATCTTGAATAAAATGACGAAATTGGCAATCGAAATCAATGCGGGATGTTTGGATTGTTTAAGCTCCGAAAATGAGAGTGTGTCGGGAGAGCAATTGTGCGGAGGTGAGTTGGGTGGCAGTGGTTTCCTCTTACACGGAGGACAAAGTGCTCTACCAGCTCATGGTCGCATTCGCTCCCAACAGCACCGAGTTCCTACAGGTACATCACTTAACTTGAACACATTGTTAGCCAACTATCCCTAACTTGCGAACGGTCTAATTATTTAACAAAGATAACGGGGCACTTTTATTTTAGTCAACTTCAATGCCTCGTTATGACTCTCTGTGCATAAGAAATCATGTTTTAAGTGTCAATGGTTGAAGTGATATATCACTTATTTAGGTCGTCAAAAAATTTTAGTTGACAGAAGACAATTTTTATGGGTTGTGTTGATTTTTTTCGTTTTCAGAATAAAGTCGTTAAATGCCCAGAAATTCAATCATGCGCATTAATGGATTTCATTGAACAAGTGAGCTAGCGAGCGTAGTGTAATAGTTTGAATCTTCTTTTCGCTACCCTAAGTCGGAAGTAAAATGCTGAATTAGTTGCAGTTTTGTAGCATTGTAAGCTTCATAGCATCTATTCTTTGCTTTATTGGTCGGAAATTTTTGCCGGTCGTCAGGGGACACTGGCTCAAATGGAAGAATGTGAGATTCCGAATCTACTTGTCGAAGGTTTAGTTGCGTACTTAGCACTAGTTTTATTTTTACTTGGTGGCATTTTTGCTGCATAGCACAGGCCATTTATTAGCACCTGTAGCTGCTTTATTGGTGTCAAATGTTCACAATCTGCCAAAGGCAGGTATCTCAGATACGAGGATGGTTTAATTCTAATTCCGAGGTCGGATGTTCGAATCCGACATAGCAGAAGTTTTTTAATTTAAGGCTGTTTTTGCAATTTCTTATTCCATTTTTTAGCAGCTTTATGTCGTTTTCTCGCTTGTGCTTGCAAATTACAGCTTTGCCTCTTTGTCATATATACAATTTTTGAGTTCACTTCCTTTTAGTTCGGCCAAGGAAAGCAAATTACGCTCTCTATCTACGAAGGAAAAATGTCTCAAATTGGGTTATTTAATCAAAAAAGGTTTTTCAAAGTAGATTTTTTATCAGTTTTCTCATATTAAGTTATTTAATCAAAATAATTGTCAATCATAATAGATTTTTTTAGCTTCAAAGACTCAAACTTGATATATTTGTTACAGTTTTATTTTTCGCGATGATGCTTTTCCAACCGTCTGTTTGCTTTGACTAAAATTTTTTTGAGCGATCTGATAGAAGCTTAACTTAAAAATAAAAGTTTAAAACACAGGGTTATCGTTTTCGTTTTTAAAATCTATTTGATGAAACACGTAATTACACAAGCGAAGAGAAGTAAATTATAACGAAGAATTTATATATTATAGCGAAAAATATTATAACTAAGCAGTTGTAAATAAAAGTGCTCTTTGGTATATTTCAATTTAATAAAAGTTTAACATAAGCAAATTATGTTAAACTAAACATAAGCAAATTAAAAGCATGTGTTGCTGCTTTATTGGCTTGTTTTAGGTCCTGTTTAAAAAAAAACTGGTATTATGAAAATGTATGTGTTTGTTGTTTTTTGTTATTTTTTGCGACGCTTTGGAAAATTTTAGCACTTTTCGCAGAAATTTCGATTTTTCTTTGAAAACTACTGCACCAATTCTCAAAAAAGGTACCAATAGAAAAACCGAATGCTCTTCTATGTGCCTGCTTTTTTTCGCTAGCCTCCTTTTTTGCCCCACGTTCTACGGCCTTCGAAATTTTTAGTTGAGGGATTTTTGATTTATTGGTTCTGAATTTTTTCAATTTGTTTTGAATTTTTTCATTTTCTCAAATAGTATCTACAAAAATCTGAAATGAGGGTTTCAATCAAATGAAAAATTTTTGGGGAATACCCCTTTTCAAGCGGCTGTTTCCTAAACTAGGTAGAAAAAAGTTATGGCCTCAAACAAGCCCATTTTGTTATTTTTGACATCATTAAGGGTGTAAGCGATTAAGGTATAACCCAGATTAAGGGTATAACCGAAAGAAACACAATCAAATATGCGAATCTTGCTTGCGCAAGCGGCTATGCCCTGCGTTTTGGAAAAAAAATATGGCTTAAAACAATTTCCAATTTTTGAACTTTAACCCGTTTTTCGATAACATTCTTTTTTTTTTCAAAAGATAAGCTGCTGATATTTAGGTAGACAATTTCTTCAAAGTAGCATGGTGCTTACTTTTGGCCTGCAAAATCAGCTTATTTTTTGTGGAAAAGCTGATATGGACTTTTGATAAATCCGTTTTTTGAAATTTTTACTGTTATTTTTTTTTAGATGGAGACTTCAATTTTAAAAAACATGTGGCTAGAAAATTAAAAAACAGGTGGATCCAGAATTAGCTGGGCTACTAATTTACTTTCAAGTGACCGTGGCGCAGATGCGAGGAAGTAAGACCCCTAATCAACTGGTCGAAGATCCAAATCCGGAACATTGAAATAATTTTTTTTGGTCGAATTTTTGCTGCGTAGCATTGGCAATTTGATAAACTGTAGATGCTTTATTCGTGGCTAGTGTTAGTAATAATACAGGTGGTCGAGGAGCAGATGTGAGAACGTGATACATCATATCTCACCTAAAAAAAATCTCTGCCGTTTTTCACCGAAGTGGTAACAATGGTAAGACCAACTGTTCAACTGTGTACCTGTATATTCCACATGTCTCACCTTACCTACTATGGCCATTCAGTTTTTCACTCGGGGGATTATTGGCTCACTTTTGACTTATTTCATTGTCTCGAAAACTCAGCCCGCCAAATCTGTGATTAGCGGTTGAATCGAAAGAACACTATGGCAAGTATACTTGCATAAGTGGCTGCGCCCTAATTTTTTGAAGAAAAATTGTTATGGTCTTAGGAAAAGACAAATTGTTATATTTTGATCGTTTTTTTTTTTTTCGAAAAATACCGTGGCAATGAGATGGTTCAATTGAAATAACAGGTAGTAGGAATCTCCCCTACGTAAGCGGCTTATCTTTAGTTTAGTTGAGAAACTACCACGTTTTTGGGGAAAATGAATTTCGACGTTTACGCATTTCCTCTCGCATTAGTGCGAAGTAAATTATCAAACAGGTTTCTCTAGCTTTAGTTGGGCCGTTAGTTGGTTGTCCTTTTTGAGCTAAAGTTTATCTTGATTCCTTTCTCAGGCATACAAAGGAGAAGAGACGTTCTTGGATATGGACCAGATAGTAATGCTAGCTACCTCCAGGGGAGCAACGATCGCGGCCAATTCTGGAAAGAACAGTAATGGAAGTGTTTTGGATATGAGACTGAAAGTGTGTGCTATTAGACACAGCGTTGAGGACGACCAGATGATTTATGGACAGTACAGTCCCATGTCCAGTTTCCTATACTCTCTTGACAATCATAATAACACATCTGCTAATGGAGTATCGAGCACAAACTCCGGTGGATCCTCCAGTGTAGTTGCTAGGTCTGGCCTGGCCAGTTTGTCTCTAAGGTCAAGTAGTGGATCAACGTCCAACTCCTCGAATCGTCGGGACCGGGACAACGCAAACTGGATTGAGCTGGACCAAAGCGATAGCTATACTGGTAATGGCAATAATAGTTCTATTCAAGTTACAGCTACAGGAGCTAGCAGTAACAATGAGAAACGCAAATCCAAGTCGAATAATGGGAGCATTTCTGTGAGTTATTCGGAAGGAAAAGCCTGCGAGACAGATGAAAGTAGTCGTGAGTGTGGAATGTTCCTTCGTGCTTTATGTGTTGCGAGGACGAGTATCCGTGAGTTCCAGCCGACTGACAAGCAAATAGCTGTCATGGTTCTAACTGTGTTCGTTCTTCTGGTGGCACTACTCACACTATACGTACAACACATGTTTGTGTAAAACGGAAAAGAAGCAGAAACTGCTGTAACAAAGAAATTGAATATAAACAATTTATTTTCATTTTGAGTCCAACTGCAGCAATTTTAAGAGGGAAGAGCTGAAAAGAGACGCTGTAGAAGCGTTGATTGAATTGCTGAGCAGTGAAATCAAAATAGGAGACTGAAAAGCGTCAAATGTTTCACTACATGATTATATTTTCAGTTTTCAGTAACTTGTCAATCTTTGAATTATTTCGATGGTCCAAGTAAGCTGGGATTGGAGCTATTTGCAACCATCATTGGCCAAACCGAAAGCGCGAAATACTATTTTGATAGCAATGTTGAATGTTAAGGTTTGCTAGCTATGAAAATATTTATTTTCTGGTTTTAAATGTTGAACTGAACGAAACAAGGAGCTATTAGTCTTTCAGAGGAAGTCTCATAGGAAATTAAGATTGTAAAATAGCTAATTGAATTAAAAAGGTGTAAAATTTTAAGCTTAGTCAATAAGTTACACTTCCAGCTCGACAAAAAAAATTAAAATGTTCGTTCAGTTCAAATTTTTTATGACCAGTATTTACGTGGACCATTTCAAGCAGAGCTCATGCGTTCTACCCCGTAATTTGGCATTTTCTCGTTTCACGTTTATTGGATGCGGTTTTTGTGTATTTATTAGAGGTAGTATATTAAAATTCAATAATTAATTCGAATAATTAATAACTGAAAGTACTGGGAATAGGTTTATTTTGTCTTGTCTTGGTGCTGCTTCGTCAATTAACGTTGGGCTATTGAATAAATTATAAAACTAAATCTAACATTATTTTTGTATCTCTATTCTAAAACAGAACTATTCTGTCGCCCAAGGCACTTGGTTATTGTGCATCCCTTGCTGTACTCACAAATCTTACCAACATTCGAAACTTGAAAAAATTAAGAAATGTGAAAAAGTGAGTAGTTAAATAACTAGAAATGGGCGCATCTCATCTTGAAGTCTAATCTGGTTAGTTTACTTAAGTGTTTGTATGTTGTGTATTTGCAATTACATTAAAGTAATAACATTCCTTAAATTATAAATAATGACAGTTAGTTAGAAGTTTGTTGGTGTTAGTGTTAATGCAAGGATAGTTTGGGTTTATTTTGGGTAAAATTTAGGTGCAGTTACAATTATTAGTTTTTTGTTGTCTTTGAGAAATAATTGAATTGAATTAAATGTAGTGAGTGGCAAACAATATTAGTGTCTTTAATAGTGTACATATGTACAATTAGAATAATTTGTGTCTAATACTAATTCTATTATCAATTAATTACAAATAACTAATCAAATGAATATCTGGTGCAGTGAAAAAATCAATCAAATTATATTTGTGAGTATATTTTAAATTTGAGCAACTTGGTTGTTAAATTTGTAGGTTCGACAGATTTACTTTCTAGATGTCTATTCATGTGTTTCGTCAAAACAATCTTTGCTGCATTTGAGAGCGTTGAGGTACTTGATGGACTAGTGCTGCTAATGTGGTGTTCGACTAACCAATTAATTGGTAATAGTATAAAAAACAGATAGAGATGCAGTATTTTGAATTAAAGTGTGTGAGTATTACAAATTTTTGTTTGTGCGTCTATGTAGAATTCAAATTCGATCTCACATTTTCCTACACCCCTTGAGCAGAGAAGATTTTAGCACAAAGTAAGGCAGCAAAGCTATCGCAACGACGAATTAAGTCAAAGAGGTACGGAATTGCGCTAGCATTTTTGTTGGAGTACCCACTAACACCTTGCAGACGACTCTTTGTGCAGCCACTGGCAACAGATACCATCACATGATACTGACATCACACTTATAATTTAAGGCTGGGAGCAATACAAGCACGCCGCATCGATCTCTCGCCATTGTAGTGGCTTATGCAACTACATCCTGATACGCGAATTGGGTGCTTTGAGAAAATGTTCATCAAGTTCCACCAGAAACGATATGATAAAAAATAGTTAGGCGAATCTCCTAGCTAAAGTAAATGAGCAGATTTGTTTGGAGAGTTTTGTTTTTTACACAAGCAAAACTTGTGTGATAGCAGAGTCGTATCTAGTATTTTCTCGAGGGGGGGGGGCGGATTTTCAAAAAATTTTGCCGATCTTTTTAGGCCGACGAAATTGATTTTCCGAGCTGTCCCAAAGCACTTAAAAGACCGTTTTGGCCAAATTTTCTGCGCCGGAGGCACAAGTTTTAAAAATACAGGCCAAAAAAGGCGTGTTTAGGCACTTTTTGGATATTTTTGACCAAACAAATTGCGTTTTTTCGGCGAGCGCTCCCCCTCAAAATTAGTATATATTGGCATCTTCAGAAAGATTATAGGTTCAGTCGCCAAACGGAGACCCGCAGCAAAATAAGAGGGTTTGAACCTGTGCAGGGCCGGATGTTTTAAATGAACTTTTTCGTATACTAGTTAAAATGCGTCTGCTCTATAAATACGGGCATGTTAGTTAGTGAATTGCATTTTTTCAAATTGACTGCTAACGCGTCATAAATGGCTTGCGTCAGTTAGCAATTATGTATACTTATAATTGGCGCGCGTCATGTAAAAAGTTTTGTTTGTTCAAAGTATTACTCATTCAGTTTTTGTCTCTATCAAAAACTAAGCAAAGCCGCATGGCCATGATTTTTTATTTGACAAAAACATTTTCCAATAAAGTAGAAGCATCATTCAAGTATATGCAGCTAATTCAGTTATTTACACTAGCGTCAGCTTTGTGTATTAATAAGAGCCTTCTTTTTTTCAAACCTAAGTCGCAAATATTGGTGGCAATTTTTTGGCACATCTACAGCTTTTTGATAGAATGTGCATTGACATTCAAACAGATAAGTTAACACAGATGATGCATTTTTAATTCATCAAATCAACCAAAAGAAAAAACTTTTTGTATCAAACAACATAACAATCATAAAAACTCGATTTCAGAAATTTTTTTCACCAATTTTTGAAAAGCATACTTTATAATTTAGCTGTATGCTTTGCGAGTTGCTACATGGAAAGTTAACTTGGATGCCTTCAGTTTGTTATATTCCAAGTTATTACTTGCAAAACTGTGTCTATTTGTATTTTGTGCCACCTTTGCTGAATCGTGTTGGCAGCTTATTAGCAGAAGTGGCCGCTTTATTCGGGACTAGTTTGTCGGTGGTTAAGCGTGCAAAGTTGTTAGTGTGTGACTCAAAATCTCTTGTTTGCAGTAGGGCGCAGATCGAATCCTAGACTCAGTCGAATTTTTACTGATTTGAGGCTAATTTTTTTTTTCTTATTGCACTTTCTAGAGCGGCATTTTGGGTTTAGCTAGAATTTCATTTTAGTTTTTTTTCCAGAGCACAAATGAAAAAACATTTTCATTCAGCAGCAATTTTTCAAGAAACTTTTCAGATTAAAAAAAACATAAAGTGCCAACAAAAAAGCAAACGCGAAACTTCAAAGAATTTTTTCAATTTCGTTTAAATTTGAAGATCAGATTTATTTCAGAAGCATAATACGTTGTCTTCATTTTGCGTCGTTTCACGAGCTGTGTATGTGTTTGGAGGTGAGGGGGATTTAATAATTTTTTATTAGACTTGAACTATTTTTTTTCGGCTTTGTTTTTTTTCTTTTTTTTCGGCATAATAGCTTTCGGCTAATATTATATCGGTTGCATATTGCTTCATTTGACGCGTAAATAAAGTTTATGTGTATGTATGTAAGTGTGTGTGTGCGTGTGTGTTTTTGTTTGTTTGTTTGTTTGAGGGTTTTTGCTGAGGTGTTTCCTTCTTTGTTACTTCTTGATAGCTTTTCTTTTGATAATAGTTTCACATTCTATTGGCTTGGCTCGCTTTGTTTTAAATTGCTCCCAATTGGTTTGAACGATCCCGCTCATGAAAATTTTAAGATAATTTGAGTCACTCGCCCATCACAAATATTAGAAACTTTTGTAAAAACTTCGAATTTAGTGAATTGTAAAATATGATATGCAGTATCCTATTTTGGACAAAAACCTCGGGAAATTATTCAGTTTGCCGTGTAGATAAAGCTCATACTTTGAAGTCTTAAGCTCAAACCTGGTTCCACGATTTCTACGTCAGCGCTTTGAGACTTTTCATATTTGTAATGCAAACTGGGTTGCATTAAGGGCTCGAATTTTTTGAGGTTTCTCAACTGAGGGGGTTGAGTGAATGCGCTGAGGGTGGCGATTGGTGATTATGGGGTGATTGGTGATTGGATGATGTGCAGGAAATGGTTGGGTGATTAGTTAGTGTTAGTTGAGTGAGTGCAATAATTATAAAGCGAGTCGGTTAATTGGAATCGCTCAATTGGCCATGTGCATCTAAATTTGCATGGCCCATTTTCGATCTCTGTTCAGGTGTTTCGACGGTGATCGGCCGCATTGTTCGTGTCTACGGGGGGATGCGCGGGCCAGATTGCATAGAGCCAGTTATTATTTCCAGATCACTTGTCCGGAACAAAATGAGACAAGCCATTAATCAAAACACCACCTGCATTACCGGTGATACATTCTCATCTCTCTCAAACATGACCCCCCTCCTCTAGATTCATCTTTTTCTTTTTTCCCCATCGCCATCGCACATTCCTATAGTTGTTGCTCCTCTGTCTCTCTTTTTCTCTCTACATCTCTATTAATTACTGCAACAACGCCCCCTCCCCCCTCCAATCCCATTTTTTCTCTGTTCCTTCTCTCTCTGTGTTTCTGTTCACTCCTTGTTCAAGCCAGGTGATCTGGCAAGTCGTAAAGTGTGTCTTCACTCAAATTTATAATCGCCACTAAATAGATCAATAATTTTGCAATCAATAAAACATCTCAACTTACAACAAAGCACCTTCACTAAACAACTGTTCGCAGCGAATTACAAAGTATTTTGAACAAAAAATAACAACAAAAACAACTGCCCCTGATCGCAATAAGAGCCAAAAATCAATTCTCAATTTTTATTTTACAGCTCTTTCATGTTATGAATAATAGATAACTGAAATCATCATTTTCACTCTCAATTCCTATTTAGCTTTTTTGATATCAGGTGAGTGTCAAAACTTAAATAATTCATTTAAATCATTAAATATGCATTTAATTTCATATTTCCAACTTTCTATACCCAACACAAAATCTTTTGGCCCATATAAAAAAGCTCAATTACAATATTGCTCTTAATTGAAAAAATAATGTTAATTGTTTAGAGCTCAGTAATTGTTTTCTTCATCCCTACTTCAAGTGTGTCAGCAATGCCTCATACTGGTGAGATCCAATTATAAAGATTACCCTACATATTGTAATCCAATATCATTATTTGTTACCAATTTGAACTGCAATTGCATTGCAATAAAAATTGCGTTGTCTTAGAAATTGCATTGTCTCAATTTTAAACGTTTATTGTTTTTCATCAACATTTTGATATTTTGCTTCTAATTGCTTTTATAATAGTTTTTTTATATACATGGAAAAAGCTGTAACAAAATTCGCTAAGCGCGATGGTTTGTAATTTATTAAAGGGCGACTATATTCGAAATGAGCAAGGACCACGCCCCGCAGCTGTTCATTACAAGCATTGTTATTTTTTCAGGAGTGAACCAACTGGGAGGTGTGTTTGTGAATGGTCGACCCCTGCCGGACTACGTGCGGAGGAAGATCATAGAGATGGCCCATCTGGGAGTGCGTCCCTGCGACATCTCCCGGCAGCTCCTTGTGTCGCACGGCTGTGTGAGCAAGATACTCACTCGGTACTACGAGACGGGCACAGTTAGACCAGGCGCCATCGGCGGCAGCAAGCCAAAGGTACACCTGAACACAACACGACGCTTGTGACTTGCATAAGCAATCCTTAAATCCCTAATTTGTTCTATTTCTCTATAGACAATAATTCGATGGACTAGTGGTTCATTGTCCACTCGATAAGGCTTAAAATGATCATTTTCTCTTATCTAAAAATTTCATTTCGGTTCATTCCCCTCCATTTTTTGGTTGTCAATAATTGCAAACATTCCGTCCAAAATTTTCTGCCACCATCTTTTGTCTGTGTATATCCTGCATAACATTTCTACTTTCTTAACAGGTAGCTACCCCGGAGGTAGTGAAGAAGATCTTGGCCTTGAAAAGAGAGAACCCCTCCATCTTTGCGTGGGAGATCAGGGACAAGTTGAACGAGAGTGGCATCTGCATGGACACCAGCCTACCCTCCGTCTCCTCCATCAACAGAATACTGCGAAATATACCAGCATACTCGTTCTCAGGTAGTTATCATTCACAGCTTCGAAGCAACAGAAAAAATTAAACGATAAAAACGACAAAACAGGCAATAACAAGATTAAAAATATAATAACACACATTCATGCAGAAGCACACAAACTTTTTGAAATAATCTATTTTATAATTCAGTCGAATCGGCAATAGGGTTTTGTAAGTTTCCCAGCTATGCTGCAGTCTAATTTTATGTAGTCTATCTAAAAAACACCAGCCATTATTTTCTGCGAGTTGTTTTTTGCTTTTTAAATGCAATAAACCTAAAACTGCATCACTTTTTTAGTACAAGACGACAAGTGCACTGCTGCCGCCGCAGCTGCTTTCTTCCCCTCTGGACCACCCGCCGGATATCCCCAATGTCCCCTCTTCATCCCCTACGGCCCCTCCCCCACAGTCGCCTGCAATGGATTCAGTCCCAACATGATCACATCTGCAGGTGTCACTCCTGGATCCCAAGGATTCCACTACCCTGGATACTACAGTCAGCAGAGCCACAACAGTCTTAAGCATGCAACGGATTCCATATCATCGGCAATTAACGAACAGACCTCAAGAGTCGCTTCAAATGGATCTCTGGCTCAGGCCAGCTTCGAATCACAGTCTAGAAATGCCTCCTTGGCCCATTTAGGATACGATTCAGTTGGAAACCCAGCATTACATGGTTTGAACACAAGTCCAAGTCATCTGGCTAAGTACTCCCAGATCTATCCGCCCCCAGCTTTGGTCCCTGTGTACCAACCACATTTGGCCTCGCAGTCGAATAATGGACAATCGGTAACTTACGACTCTCAAAGGACCTCCGAATCGCCACACAGTTTTAGTCCAAATAAAATCAGTCCCTCGGCTAGAAGTGACTTGATGTCAGCTGCAAATGGAGTGAAGATTTCAGTCGCGACTCATAATCACATGATTGAGAAGATTCTGGGCGAGCGAAATGGCACGACTAATCAGTTGGCAGAAGGAGCAAGAAAACGAAAAAACTCAACTGATGCGTTGACTTCAGGTACTATCATAACCTTTTAAAAATCTTTCTTAAAAGAAATTCCTTGTAAAGCAACGTGAGCTTATCTGAATTGGCTTCGAGCGAACTTTTATTTTCTTCTTTTATTATAATTTCAAAGAATTTTGAATTTAAAGTTTTCTCAGTTTTCGCGATGCCAAAAGTCTGAAAGACATTTTTGATGTTTTGCTAGATGAACTTTTTTGGTTTAGAAACTTCAGCTAAAACAAGCAAAACATTTGGATTCTCTAGCAATGGCTCATTAACTTCAACATCATTCGCATCTCTTCAGCCAAATGCAAATACAACCAACAACTTTTCCCTTTTCTACCGAGCAGAACAATCCCCCCTCACAGCTTCAATCAGACCACCTGTGCAACAATTAGGGGGCTACTTCTCAGAAGTTGGGGGCTTTTCTGGGAACCCTGCAAACAACCAGTTCTCCTCGCCCTATCCCTCTCACGTGACTGGGCCTCTATCTCAGGGTCCAGTGCCTCCTTTGGAACCATGGGTCTCAAATGGCTCAAACCCAATTTCGAGCTGCACAGTAATCAGTCCTGCAAAGTGAACAGTATTCGATGAGTTCAAAACTTTTTTTTGTTCACGAACACAACCAATCAAAACTATATCATTAGACACATGCTAGAAATATTTTTCTATTTCAAAATGACTCGTTTTTGTTGAAAATTAATTGATTCAAAAGCTCGTAAGATACATTTATGTATTTCAAATGATTCTAATGCCTTATAAAGATATTTATAGTTACACAATTAAAGATTTCTAACTAAAGTTTCGTTCAAAAAGCTAGCTTAGTGTGATGGTTTGTATTCAGCAGTTGTCGAAGTTGTCATTATCTCTGAAGTGTGGTTTTTGGCGCTGGCAATTGCGACTGCGTTGACAATGATGATTCAACTGAGGTGGGGTGGTTGGCTTAAGGGATTCTATGACTCATATGTCGGTGTCTTCTGTGTAGCACCACAGCATTAGATTGTCTCTCAAAAGGTCTTGGATCAGCTTCACGTCTTTCAACTGGTCATCGGGCACCTGTAGACAAAAAACCTTCTTTGAACCATAAACTTGTAAAAACGTTTAATAATGTAATGAGTTGATCCAGAGGTTGTATAAGATAGTAATTGCGGACTATTAAAAATGTCTGGCTATCTTATTTTCAGCCGGATAGCTTCGTGCAACTCCTTAGTCTAATGTCGGTCCTAGCCTTTACTCTTATCTTAATTTCTATGTCTCAATGAAGCCTAATAAAATGCTGGTTAAAGCGGGTTTATTATGAGTACAACTGTATACTATTCGATAGCATGTGGGCTCTGACTGAGAACAGTCAGGGTTTACAATTGAGAAAATAAATGTCAGTTATGGAATATGATTGTTTTACTGTCGTCTAATGTGCTTGTCGTCTAGTTTCCTAGGCCCCACTTCACAGACATATTCATTACATAGGATATACACCGTGAAGATAAAAATCAAACAGCGCACGGGTCGGTGACGTGTGTGAGATCCTGGAAGCTCACAAAGGCGCTCCTTTCTGTTATTCTGAAAAATGAATCTTTCATACTATCGGTTTGAACCAGAGCCAAAATATCGTGATAGTCGGTTATGTTAGAAGTAGCAGAATGGTCCGACTACGGTTACAAAAGAAATTTTTTTTATAAAATCCATTTGCTTTCACTTATTTAATACAAATGTCTAAATTTCTGAAAAAAGGCTCAAAACCAAAAATATTAGGACCAGTTTTTCTCGAAACAACAAATTCGAATTACGACTGAAAACTTTAACATGATACCTCACTTGGAACCATTTTGTTTTCTTTGAACTTGTCAAAATAAAGCAATAAAAAATTGTTCTACGCCTTAGCTCTTTTCCGATCTAAAATTTGTTCGGGACAAAATTGCATGCTGTAATATAATTACATTGTAAACGAGTTGACGCTTATTGTTCCGATTTTCAAAGAAAGCGAGGAATATAAATGCCTCTGGTGGTTTTCTATTCTCGGGTGAAGTAAATTCTGATTAAAATTTGATCCGTGGAGATATAACCTGTAGTCTATATTTCCTTTGGTCGTTTATGATGCTGAAAGCTCAACACGAAAAATTCCGCTCACAGAATTTTCCTAATTGAAATCTAGTGAGCTCATTGGTCATTTTTTGTGTACACTTCTCATATTTTTGCCAATAACCTTTGAATCAAATGCAGTCGGAACATTCAGAATTTTGCCGTGATTTAAGAGCAGGCTTGCTATTTAGACTATTACGTGGTTTCTGTCCACTGGTTATGACCATCGGCCAATGCTAAATATCTGTTGCGGTAAATGGAGCGAGCCGTTACTGAAAAATAGGTCTATCTCGAAACTCTTTGAATACATTTCGAGCCCCACACAAACCAAAACTGAACAATTCTCAAATTATCATTTTTAACTTTTTTTCAGTATTTGAATAGCCTATTTGACATATTTTTTTAGCTAATTGTATAAATAAACTACTGAAAGACAAATTTCGAAATTTATCCAAAAGAAAATTTTTTTATTTTGCTCCTAGTTTTTGTTTTATTAGTTAAATAAGGATGAAAAAAATATTACGCATTTGAGTGAAATATGAGTTTCTGACATTTTTGCTAGAGTGCAATTCTAAAACTATCGGATTTTGTATTGATCTGTTCCAATCTAGTTCTATTTTTTCATCATTGTTTATTTTAAATGAATTAAGGAGAATCTTTCACAAAAACTGGGAAGTATCCAATCAGCTTTACCATCTTGAGTTTTACCGTCTTTTGTCGATACACAGACTAAAATTTTGAATCCTATTACCTATCGGAAAACATTGCATCCTCCATAAAATATCTCAAAACATAGCACGAAGATCTGCCAGGTTCTAGCCTATATTTCTTCAATCGAGCTAGTGAGCGCAGTGATATATTACAAATCCTTTTTTCTCACTCAACTCGCAAAAACAAGTGCTCGTTTGGTGGCATTTTTGCTGCATAACATTGGCGGTTTAAAAGCATCCGTTCTATCTGCTAGATTGATAGCTATTTGCAATTTCCAAGGTGACGTTGCTGCAACTGTGAGAAAATGAGACTCGTATTCTTCAGGTCGATGGTTCGATTCCTTAGAGAAATAAACCTTTTCAGACAGGTTTTTTTGATACTTGCGAGCGATTTGGAAATTGCCATTTTAAAGCTGTATTTGGTTCGAGAAGAATTATAATATTATTCAATCCTGCTTTCAAACAAGAAAGTAGGGGAATCTTTTTTCATCGTTTGAGTCAATTTGGTCTTGTGCTTTTTTCATTTGTGAGTATTAGATAACTGTTTAACAGTTGAATTTATTTTCATAGCTTCAATCAATTGTCGTGCGAATTATATTTTTCCGGCAAATTGTTCAATCATTTCAAATTATTTTCATATATAGTCAACAGTGTGCAAAATTTTATTTGATAATATATTTTTTCAAAATGAGTTCAAGAGATGTTATTTATTATTTTCAATTCTTGATTTGATTGCTAAAATTTTTTTTAAAATTTCAGCATTTCACTGAGCTTCTTTTTTGGTACTTTTTGACGGTATTTTCACCGCGTCTATCTATTTGCAGAAAAAAAATTTTTTTTTTGAAATTACTTTGCACTATTGGGTGTCAAAATCTCATTTGAGCAGCAGGCTCAAAAAATTTTGCAATTCTTTTGAGCCAGAAAAAAACTGAAAACGTTGTCGATATTAATGTCTTACTTTCATAAATGGAAAGGCTCCTGAAGTTTTTTTTCTGAAATAGAATTTGCGTAGAATTTTCCAGAGTCAGACTTTTGAACGTTTTAGAAACTTAAGCTCAGCTGAAAGTGATAGGCGTTGAATGTTGTAATCCATTATTTGTAAACGTTACATTCTGTAGAAGTTTTAAAAGGCGACGTCCACGGCTCACTCTGACTTTCAGTTAAAAAGTAAGCTGATCCGTTTGTCTTTTAGCTTTTTATTTGTGCAAATATTGTTTTTTTATTGGGTACTTCCGAACGCGTCCAGGCAATTCGGCCAAAGACAATTCAGCCGATTTGAAATTCAGACAATTCAGCCAAAATTATACAAACAATTCAGCCAGAGACAATTCAGCCAATAATAGTGACCGCCGCAGTCGCGCCAGCGTGTTGCGAGCTTGTCAACAGAGGGTAAGGACTCTATACGAAATTTAGAGTCGGTTATCGCCGCGAAGCGGCGACGCGCGCCTAGCGCGCCCACCGGTGACCTTAAACCGAGAAATAACTCCGATTCCGATATTTTTCTTTCGAATCTAGCGTTTTGTAAAACTGGCTGAATTGTCTCAGGCTGAATTGTCTGTATGTTTTTGGCTGAATTGTCTGAATTTCAAATTGGCTGAATTTTTTTGGCCGAATTGTCTGCTCGCCCTTCCGAAGTAAGGAACTTTAACCTAATTCAATAATTTTAATTTAATTCAAAGTCCTTTGATCTACTCCTGTAATTTGCTAATTGATTTTTTTTTTTCCATCAAATTTGGCTGAAAGATTGGCTTGATCATCTTAGAAAAGTGTAGTTTTTCACTGACGCAATATAAGATGATCAAGCCAATCTTTCAACCAATTTCGATGAAAAAAAGTATAAAAATCAATTAGCAATTTTTTTAACACAACTTTTATGCGCATCGATTCGATACATAATAGAAAACTAAGTATTTATTCGTAAATAAACAAATAACTGACACGAAATAAAATTGATTTGAGTTTACTTAAATAACAAACTCAGTTGAATTAAATTTAACTGGGAAAATATTTCATAAATTACTTCGACAGAGTGATGAGTCGAGTCAATAGTTCCATGTTTTTTCGACTTTTTGAAGGAAGAACCGGTATCAGTGCTAAGGGTGTTTTTTCAACCATATTTTTAGCTTTGAAACTAAAAGTTTTTACGGATTTTTTTTTGTTACGTTAAAGATATCGATACCTCTAGATAAAATTGACAAAAAATAATTAAAAAAAAACAAAACAATTTTGAATCTTTTGTTACTTGCTGCATTTTTTGATAAACTCATAAGTAATATTCAATTTTGAAAATGAGCGGAAAAACTCATTTCAAAGTGAATATCGTAACTGTTTGTATAGATTTTTGTACAGATTTTGTATAGATATTTAACAGTTAAGAAGTAACAGAAATGTTTTTTTTCGAGTGAGCCTACCTTGCCCATATTGGAGACACACTTGTCGTATGCGTCCCTGGCAATCTTGACTGCTCTGGTCTGGTTGCCGTAGATCTCAAAATGGAACACTGCCATGTTCAGCAGCAGACCCAGTCTGACCTATTTAAACAACGATCAAATAGATCCCAATCCTAATCAACCATCATAATTCAGCATAGGCAACAAGGAGGGAGCTAGACAACAAAGCCGAGTCATAATAATATTCATGCATGATTAATTTTATTTGCTACTGACTGGGTTGTATGCGGTGAGTGATATGGCCTTCTTGTATGCCTCCTGGTAGGCAGTCTCTGTCTTCTCAGCCTGCATCTTCCGCCCCTCCCCTTCCATTGTCTCCGCCATGTACCGGTAGTAGTCCGCCTAAACACACTCATGTTAACTGGTTTGTTAATAACTTGTCTGGTAAATTGTTGTTAATAAGTTAAGCCAAGTAAAACAAAATCTCAACAAGAATAGCCGGTCGCTGTGCAAGTAGCACAGAATGGTACAAGCAGGGGCGGATTTAGGGGGGGGCGGGGGGGCGGACGCCCCCCCCCCCTCAGGGACTCGACCCCCTGCCGACCCAAAGGGTCCCCCCTTTGATACTTTTTCAGAAATCCATTTTTGGCCGACCGACCCTAAAATTTTTCTAAAGGCGCCTTGGGCGCCAATATATACTAACTTTGAGGGGGAGCGCGCGCCAAAAAAACGCGATTTTTTTGTCAAAATTTTTCAAAAATTGCCCAAAAACGGCTTTTTTGACTGTTTTTTCAAAAATTTGCCTGCGGCGCTAAAAATTTAGCCAAAGTAGGGCCAAAACAGTGCTTTGGGAGAGCTCGAAAAATCAATTTAGTCGACCTAAAAAAAAAAAAAAGGTCGTCAAAATTTTGGAAAATTTTTTGAAAATCCGCCCCCCCCCTCGAGAAAATCCTAGATCCGCCCCTGGGTACAAGTCTTTTTTTTCTACGTTATGTGATGATAGAACCATATGAACGCGTAGAAGTTTAGTAAATTAGGCATATCCGATTTCAATTGTTTTCAAACAAAGCTTTTTTTGCACTAAAATTTTAAAAATTTTTGAACGTTTTTTTTGCCAAGAAGCTCTAAATGAAGCTTTTGAAATTTGTTACATTTTTAGTAAACTGAAGTTTTTTCTAGCCCAAATTGATGAATTTTATATGTACCCTACGTTAATCGATCGCTTTAATCGCTCAAAAAAAGTCGAAAAACTAAAAAAAATTTCAGCAAGCTTCAAGTTTTTTCATTCAAGCAATGAAGCTGCAAATAAGTGATGAATTTAACTTCTGGCGATTAAGTTCCATCAATTTGACATTCATTTTTTCAGTTTTAATTCAAGAGATGTTATTTGTTAATTTCAAAGCTTGAAATGATTGCTAATTTTTTTTAAAAAAATTTCAGCATTTCACTGAGCGTTTTTTTAGTATTTTTTGACGGTATTTTCACCGGGTCTATCTATTTGCAAAAATATATATACATATTTATATATTTTTGAAAATATTCTGCACTATCTGGTGTCAAAATTTCATTTGAGCAGCAGGCTCAAAAGAGTTGCATTTTTTGTAAGCTAAAAAAAACTGAAAAAGTTGTCAATGTTAACGTCTTATTTTCATAAATGGAAAGGCTCCTGAAGTTTTTTATGAAATAGAAGGTAGAATTTTCCAGAGTCAGAATTTTGAAAGTTTTAGAAACTTAAACTCAGCTGAAAGTGATAGGCGTTGAATATTGTAATCCATTATTTGTAAACGTTACATTCTGTAGAAATTTTAAAAGGCTACGTCCACGGCTCACTCTGACTTTCAGTTAAAAAAAAAAGCTGATCCGTTTGTCTTTTATCTTTTTATTTGTACAAGTATATTTTTTATGGGTACTTCAGAAGTAAGGAACTTTGATCTAATTTAATAATTTTAATTTAATTCAAAGTACTTTGATCTACTCCTGTAATTTGCTAATTGATTTTTAGCAAATTCCAATTATTTTTAAAAAACAAAAAACTAAACAAATTTTTTTTGCACTAAAATTTTGAGTTTTTTGAACAATTTTTCTGCCAAGAAGCTCCAAATGAAGCTCTCAAAACTAGTTTCATTTTTTGTAATCTGAAGTTTTCTTAGCCTGAACTGCTGAATTTCATATATACCTTACGTTAATCGATCGTTTTAATCGCTCGAAAAAAGTCGAAAAACTAAAAGTTTCGAACCGGATTTTCTCGTCCTGGGAAATTTTTTGGAAAAATTTTAATGTCGTTCGAATCAAAAATCAAAGGACTTGTGATATCCTGAAGAATTTTCTTGGATATTAAACATTCCTAATTCAAAAACTTTTCAATTGATATCTGAATCCTTATTCTTTTGTTTTTAGCTGAGTCATAGCTGTTGCAAATCGCATTCTGAGTATTCGAGCTGCATAAAAAATCTGGAAACAAAAAATCTGAAAAATCTGGAAAATTCATACATGGAAATATTATACGTATATTATATTTAACGAACGTTAATCTATCGCTTTACTTATTCGAAAATAAGCGAGAAATCAAAAATTATAAATCTGATTTTCTCGACAAGGGAAATGTTTTTGGAACAGTTTAATGTTGTTCGAACCAAAAATCAAAGGTTTTATGATATTCTGAGGAAATCTCTTGGTTATAAAACGTTTTAAACTCAGAAATAATTCAATTGATATTTGAACACTTGTTCTTTTGTTTTCAGCTGAGTCATAGCTATCGCATATCGCAATCTGAATATTCCAGCTGCTTAAATAATTGGATCTATCTTGACTTTGGTTTAAATTTGATACGTCATGAACATTGACATAAATTTAATATCTGAGGTTACTGCTAGCGCAGTATCGCATTCGCCGCCTGGCAGGGAAAATTTTCAACAAATAATTTTATAGAAGTTTTTTTTAGCATTCAATGCAAAATTCGAATGCAAAATGTTTTTTTAAGTCCTCTCTGCATTTCTGTTTGCTTTCAGTCCTCCGTCAATTGTTTCTCTCAACACGCATTCTATGATTTTTTGGGATCAAAGGTCGCATAAACAAGTTTTTGCCGGAAAAGATGACGTTCTAGTAGTCCCAGACGGTCCAATTTGATAAATAACATTGCCAAGTTTTCTCGTTATGCTGTTAAAGCAGCTTTGAGTACACGTCCTCCGGAATATTATTCTGCTGAAATTAGTTTCATTGATTGTTTGAACAGCTCTCTGAAACATATTGTCTTCATGCCCTTGTTTGACGAGAGCTTCTTCTAATTCCCTTGTCCTCTATACCTGAATCGTGGCGGCGGATTAAAGTTGTCATCGCATTTTTAGCGAGAATATTGATGTTTTCCTTTTGAATCATCCTTGAATTTCTGCACGCCCCCCCCCCCCCACCCCCCGCCAAGTCAGCCCATTCGAACGGTGAAAAGTCCTGGTTCTGAAAGGCATTTACGATCTCATCTGGTTTTGTTGATCTGTCAGGGCTTCGTAGTTTTTTCAATTTTGAGACTGCCTCCTTTGGTGTTGACCTTGGTTGCTCCTCGAGCCGAGCCTTTTTTCGCGTCGAGCCTCTTGCACGGTCGGTTTTCCTTCTTTGATTATTTCCTAGCCATTTTTTCTTGCGTCATCGGTTCTCTTGCACCAATTTTGGTCCTCCCATGATCAATTTTGCTTTTGACCGAAAAGTTCACGTCGCTCCTGATTCAGTCTTTTTCGACGTCACTTTAGTGGGCTTCTCCTGGAACCTCTCATTTGAAAAATCAATATCGGCCTGCTGAGGCTGCGTAAGTAAGAGTTGTCTTCTTCTGACTCGCTTTCTTCTTAGCCATTCCGATGCTCTGATTTTTTGAGGCATCATCTTTGATTCAGCTGTAGGGTTTTTGCTTGACTTTTGCGTAGGCTCACTTGACGCGTTTATCTTACCTTTTGCGATAAACTGCCCATCCAGTCGTCTTGATAGCAAAACTTGTATTTGATACGACCTTTCTTTTGAGCGGTTTTTTAACCAATTGCCCGCTCTATCTGTTATCTTTCTTTCAGAATGGAAAAGTATTTGTTAGGTCCTCTTATTTAACCTCGATAAAGCCCTCTCCCATAAGTTCACTTTTCCCTTTTGAGCTCCAGGTTTGTCTGCCCCGCCAAATCCTCAATCCTTCTGATGTCATTCTTTGCGGCGTCCCGATGCTCCTCGTTCTATTTGGCTTTAATTTTGAGCAAATTCTTTGCCTCTCTTATTAATTCCCTAGTTTTCTCTTACTGTTTGACAAATATTTCTCAAACATTGGCCTGGTGTTTCTGGTTGACATTCCTTTTCTGACTATTTTGACTTTTTCCCGTGACTGATCAATTATACGTTTCATTATGATGCATTATACATTATACTGATCAATTATACGTTTCCTCCCGCAAGATTTAAAATGTCCTTTTGCAAGTGGGCCACAACAAGTACTTCGAAGCTCCTACGAAAGCTTCCTGACCATAGTGTCCATTCATTTCATTATGGCTAGACGCAACTGCACAGGAACCGCCAGGCGATTATCCACCCGAACGCATTCGTCTAGCACTGCCATCTGATTTCGGAGCGGGTTTGTATAGGGTCCCATTAGCTCAAAATGTTTCTTTTCCCCTGTTTCCACGACACGCCGAAGACGGTTCAGCCAATTGTTTTCGGAGGGAAGCTCGCCAGCGAGCTCTTGTCATACAATTTTGAGAGGTTGGATAAGCACTCTTCACCTAGCTGCACGGACAGCCGTTAACTGTCTTTTCGGTAAAAATGGCTTACTCGAAGCGGTGGCTCAACTATATTGATTTCCTGGGCGTCATATTTTTTCTCTTCTGTGTTCGAATCCACCAGGATGACTTGAATTGGTCCTTGCTCCCCTGTATCGGATCGGTTAAGTGATTCCCTACTGACAATTTCTTCAATCGTTGCTTCTAGTTTGTTATAATTTTGGGATTGTTCACTTCTTTTTTTTGTTCTCCTTTGCAGTAGAGGTCTTTTTTCTCCGCAGTAGAGTTTCGGCCATTTCCTCTTCTTCTCAAAGATGGTTGGCATCGCTAGTTGACTTGTTCCAACTTTGGTCTGTTAAGCTTTCTTAGCGCCTTTCGTCTCTCCATCTTTGCTGCGGCAGTTTGCTCCAACAGTCTTTTTTGATGTTTGCTCACTTTTCAAGCGTCCATCAACTAATGATTGTGCACTTTGCAGTATTGTCGAATCAGTATCCATTGACGTTACAAAGTTAAAGTCACCATCTTATTTCCCTCCCTGGTTGGCACTCGACTCGTCTGAACAACTCATTAGCGTCGCCTTTTTGTTGTCAAATTCTGGGTCTTCTGCTTTATGTTTTTCTTTTCTCGATAGAATACAGACAGTACTTTTAAACAACCAGTCGTATTTTTCATCATCTCCAAGTTTCCTGTCCTCATGACCGATAGGATGTTTTCAACGCACATACTTTTGGTCGAAAAACTTGCAATCATTTTCGGTTGTGACGTGCATAATGTTGTTCTTCTCATGAGTCATTTGTGATCATATTCTGGCAACCTCCTCCCTCGTGACTTTGGCTTTCGATGCTTTGTATCGCGACGATTGAAATAACTTTCTTATGCTTGAGCTGTCAATTTTCATTTAACTGTCTGTAAAAACGTGAGAAATTGTTTTTTTTTCAAATTTTCTCATTTTATGTTTTTGGTTTGATGGGAGGATCTGAATTGAGGCCTAACAACTAAACATATTTGATAGAAAAAGTAAATAAGGTATATTCAAAACCTTTTTTTTTCAAATATGAGTAGAAAAAAAACATAAAACATAAATTATAATAATTTTTTAAACTTTTTTATTTTAAAGAAAAGGCTAGAGAAAATGTCCAAAACCAATTTTACAAGGGAAAAATTAAACTTCCACGACTTTATGTGTTGTAAAAATCAGACTATTCTAAGCTTGCTCGCTCGCTTTATTTTCTCGAAATAAGACTAAGAATCAAAAACTGAAACCAGTCGACACTGAAAAATTGTTTAAAAATTTTATTTCAAATCGTCTAAACTAAGTCTGAGAGGGCTTTAAATTAATTTCTCACTCCACCCATTGCGATGATTATTTGTGGAACCTGCGTGATAAACAGAAAGTTAAACTATAATTATAGCAAATGATTGCGCCCTAGCCGATAGGCCTAAGCCTGCAATTAGAAAAATGAAATAGACTGGTGTTGTACTGTTTTGTTTCTATATCCGCTCTTTGAGCAAATTGACAATCGCCAGTGGACTTAACAAAAAAAATTGTCGAATTTTTTCGCTTTAAAACAGGTTTCTAACACATCGTTTTTTTTCGTGAAAAAATAAAACATTTACTTCCTAAAACGACCTAGGCCGACCTGGATTGACAAATTAAGCGTCTGCAACAGCCTATATTTTGCCAAAAGTGTAAACACACACTTCAAATTGATTTTCTCGAAAAAGAATATTATTTTCGAACGTTAGCTTTCTTTTACATTGCTTTTTCTTCTAATCCGTTTAAAGGCTAACTAAATACTGTTTTGAACAACCTCGTTTCGTCAGCACAAAAACTATTAAAGTATTAAACACGCACACACACACACAAAAACACACACGCAGGCAAAAACACACACATACACAAACACACACACGCGCGCGAGTCAATTTTAGAATGAAAACGATTACCCTAATCTTGAGCCAATAAACTCTGTCTTCGGCCTTGTTGTCGGGGGTGGAGGGGAGGAGGTAGTCGGTGATGAGAGCCATGATCTCCTCGCACAACTCCCGCATCTCCTTGCTAATTTGGGCCACCATCAGACGCGACTCCTTCCGCCGCAACTCGAACAGACGCTCCTGCTCTTTCACTGTGATCTGAACAAAACACACACACAAACACAATGGTTAGAGAGCATGACAAATGCTTGTACGCAATTAGACAAACATTTGAAAACATTTTCAAATCATAGTTTCGGAAAACTTTTCAAGGTTTTAGCTTGAACTTCTATTGTTAAAAAGTTTCATCATTATTTTTTTTCTTCGAAGTTTTTCCCCAAAATTGAAAAGTATGCTGCAATTTTTACTCCAGCTGAAAGTATGCTGCAATTTTTACTCTCAGGTGAAAAAATCGAAATGGTTGAAATGAAAAAACCTGCCCCTACTTACCTTTTTTCCGTCTGCATTATGGGAGAATTCGGCGAGCGAGTCTGTGTTTGAGTTCTGGGTGTGGTACAGACTCACTGCCACCCTCCACTGTCCCCTCAGTTGGGTGGCGAGTGTCTTGTACGCGTCCACTAGTAGATTCCTCTCCTCGCTGTTCACCCATTTCCGTCTCTCCACGAAGTGGCGCATCGCTTGTCGCATGTCGTCAAATCTACACAAGAATCATGTTAAGAGATTGTGAAATCTTTGAAAGTTAGAGATATTGAGTATCCACGAGGCAAAGGACAAAGATACAAACTGTTCAGCTTTATACGAGGAACCGCTATTATGCCCGCCTGACTAACACATACATTCCATTTTAAGATTGAACATCCCGGATCACAATTCACAGGCTCAAATGGTATAAAAACTGGTACAATAAGCAATTCGCTAATCAGTATTTTACTTGAATATTTTTTCACAACCAACTCGACACTTTTATTAAAATTCTTAGTGCTATTTCATGATATTATTTTAGGTCAATCAATACTTCTTTTTCAAAATGGCTCATCAGCACCAATAAAACCCAATTTTTAGGAAGGAGCGAACTGATACAACCCGGTCAAAACTTCCAAAAATAACCTGAGCGGAATGATGCAAAATTTATAAATAAATTGGACAAAATCGGGAAAATTATTTTTACCCTTGAATATCAAATCCAGCTAGGTAAGTCATTCTTATCAAAACTCAAACTGATCTGAGCACATCCTGCGTCAAACTTGGTCACTTCGAAACACCACCTTCTATTAGAATGGACTAAAAGTTGGAACCGAAACTGTCTCCAATGATTTATTAATAATCCGAAGTAGATTTAAAACTGTGCCAAAATGCGTTCCCAGCTAAAAGACACAGAAAACTACAAACAATCTTTTTACTTGATCGTTCCAACTTTCGAAGAAAATGACGGAACTTTTCTGCTCGTGGTGGTTTTTTTTCCAGACAAATTTCCACTTTTTAAATAGCAGTTTCTATTTATATCATTCAAATTATATTGTTGTCCTAAGCTCAAATTTGAAAAGATATTTGACTTCTGATTATTTTAAAATAAAATTATGGGGTTTAAAAATTGACAATTTGGCCAATTTGAGACAAGTAACGCGCGATGAGTTTTGGGCGATTTACGAGTGAGCGGAGTTTTAATCCGTCTTGAAAATTGTTCCCAATTGGATTGCGGCATGCTTTTTGGCCTATTTTATACTTCGCTATATGCAAAGTATGGTGGCAGGACAATTTACCCTATTCCAATCTAGCTATGCCAAGTTACATGCAATTATGTTCTATCCTTTATCACACTAGGTGCTAGGGACATGTAAGGAAGTGGTATTTCAATTGAGTTCAACGATGTAGACTCAAAAAATGTCTCGGTGAATAAACCGAGTACTCTATGGACTCGATTAAAAACTTTGGCCAAAAAAGTAGGTTAAAACAAAATTAGCAGATTTCAATCCCCATAAACAGTAATTAATATAGAAATGAACACAAGGCTTGAATCAATTTACCGTTTTTTTGCAAACTATACACAATGAGCCAAATTACACGTCATGGGAATTAGAACTGAAAAATTGCGAAATGCTTGTCATGGAGAAAAACGAATTCACGAAAAAGTAAGAAGCAAAGAATAGCAACGAAAATTCAAAACGCTCACAATGGCACTCCCCCAAATGCAAGGCGACTGCAATCACTCAGGGAGAAGCTCTGGTATCTAGAAGAAAAAAACCACAGGCACAAGGTGTTCCCTTGCCGCTCCGCCAGAATATTAGTGAAACAAACGAAACATTTAACCAAAACTCAGCAGGTACCTCTCAACAGCTGCATTATTGCAACTAGCCTTCAAACAGTGTCCGATGAAAAAAACATCCAATTAGTTTCTTTTTTTACGCTCTGCCATTAACATGTCTTTCAATCGACCAAAAACAACTGTCCAGCTTTTCGTCACGCCAAGAATTGATAAGTTTTTTGTACTGCCTAATCAGAACAAAGATTTCTATCTACTCGATAGTGGTGGTATTGAATATATTGAGTTAATTGAACTGGCATTTGTTCAAGTCATCGAGGAATAAGAAGAAGTTGCCGGCCGTTTTGACCTGGACAATTTAGTTATTGAAAAATAGTGGTTGAGGTTGCTTCGTATTTCCAGAAAAATTGCTTCAAGTGAAAACTGTATGAAGAAATTTTCGGTAGCCTTTCTTTTTAACAAGTCTATGGAATATTCGAAGGAGGCAGCTACTGGCTTGATCCGAACAACGAATGCTATAGAAAGATGAAATCTTGGTGTTACTGCCTGGTTTAAGGTTAGTCATCCCTCCCAATAAACATTCCTCAACGAAGTGAAACCCCAAATCAGAATTTAAATATCCGGATAGCTGTGAGAGGAAACGACAATCCTAGTCGAAAAAAATAACGAGAACATTATAGTGGTTCAATAAAAATTCAATTATAAATTATTTAAAATTTTTATTTTAGCTCGCCCCTTTTTTCTTCTTCTCCCCCAACCCTTCCCCAGTGCCGGTGCCGTCCTGGCCTGGCACTGAGGGTCTATGCTCGCTTTTTGTTGAACCAATGAAGTTCATAATATTTTTGGAAATTCAATTAAATTTTTTTGACTTCGCGTTAATACGATCTTTTACACTTTTCGAACTAAAGCACACGCATTATCTAACAAGCTGCAGCGACTCAACTGTACTCGACTTTTGCTGTTTTTAGAAATAGTCACAGCGCAAAAGATTATATTCAGATTAATTTTATTGTTCGTTGATGCTTTGAACTCATTTGGTTGTTGAACAAGCAAATTTTGCGTTGCTTTGATATTTTGTTCTTACGTGCGTCGATGGTTTTTTGATCAAAATTATGGTTAATTGATCTGTTCGGGTATATTCTGTTTTGGTTTCGTCAATGAGCTGGGGTAAGTTGTAGTTTCTTCAATTGGAGGGTAAAATTGCGTAGGGTAAGAGGAACATAGGGTAAGCTAGTATAGGTTAAAACGGAATAGGGTAATTTGGAATGGAGTAAGACAAAGACATCAAAGAATCGCAAAGTATATCACATTGAACTTTAGATAACGTGTGGGGGAGGGATGATTTTCAAAAAAAAACGTCAAAAAAAACTTGAAATTTTGTTTTGATTTTTTTAAACACTCCACAGAAACTAAAACTCGGCGTTTGTATTGTATTCAATGTCAACAATGAACAGCCCATTTACACCACGTCAAGTTTCATGCCTCGCATCATGATAGGCCATACCTGGAAAAATGAGTAGAAAGCTTGGTCATTTTTTTGCACCGGAATAGGTTCAAATCACTTCTTTTGGTACCAGTTTTGGATCAGTATTTATTTGCCTCCGTGTGAAAAAACTTTTTGAATTAAAATCGTCATTGGTTAAAAGCGTCAAAAAATTGCGAAAGTTGCCTCATCTCAAATCTTGCTATCCGCTTGAAGGTAGGTATTGCTAAATAGTTGATCATTCATTTGATGGCTGAGTGAACCATGGCTCTTCAGTGGCTATAATTAGAATATAAACAACCTATCTTCATTGCAAACAGGATGGAAGAATTTCACAAAGGCCACGAGTGTTGATCAATGGTTCTATGTCTACAATAGAGATAATCCTACGATGCTGAAAAAAAGAGTCCAAGAAAAATGTTCCATGATTCATCAGTAGTTGGATGGATTTTTCGTTTGGTCCCGTGAGCGATCTCTGTGATGGCCTGCAGGCAGCAAACATTGTTTCTTTAATGTTGTACCAAAAAAAAAACTTTTTTTCGGTGAACTAACTTTATTTTGGAAGCTTCGCATACTTCGTAATCTTTCATACCAAAAATTGAGCCAAAAACTAGCACACTCTAGCACATTCAAAACAAGGGAAAACCAACCTAACAGAAACGGCCGCGGCAAAAAAAACAAGGGTAAAAAATCGAACTTTAGCGCATGAGACACACTGTTTATTTGCCTCGCGAATCTCATTCATTCCACAGAAGGAACTGTAAGCCTCGCTCAAACTGAATATGACTCAAAGCAACCTATCATTCCTAACGTATGACTTGATCTTGCGGAATTTTTTTTTTCATGATAACAACCTTTGTCATCAGAAGCAGTACCTACACTATCTGCGAGCCAATTTTTTTTTTGAGAATTGACCACCTGGATCTCAGCTCCTTGTCAAAGTCATTTAACGTTCACTTACATATCTGCAATAAGTGCATAATAAAAATTTTCACGGCCGTGAGTGCAATTTTTCCTTTGCTTGGTTTGCTTTTGTTAAATGATTCTCCTCTAATTCGGGCGTGGATGTGGACTAATTAAAAAAAAAATTAATCAGAGAATTTTTGAGCAGCGATACCGCAATTTTATACTTTTATGACCACAAGGAAAATAAAACTCAAGATTGGTTCACCATTGAATACGAGTTTCTTTTCAAAGGTATTTATAAGGTATAATGCTATTCGTCGCACTCCATTGGTCATTTGGTTCAATAGCGGTAGCAACTTCAGTCTTGAAACGATCAAGCATCTAAATGGCTCTATACCATTGTCTGGGAGGGAAATATAAGCCGGCTACAGCTGCGCGAGTCAAATGGGAACATCCCGTTCGTTTACGTGAGATTTTTCATTTGTAAGAATCATACTCGCACATAAAAATATACGCGTTCTTCTACGCATTTGATTTTTCTGCGCGTTTAAAAAAGTTTAAAAAAAACCATTAATCCCATTATTTCAAGGCAGTATTCTTGGGCAACTCTTGTTGCCCGATAACTTCAGTAACAGTGAACCCAGGTTAGCCAAAAAAGCTAGCCATAAACTTTTCATATATGGAAAAATGCTACTCATACACTTTTCATGCAATTCCATAAAAACAGAAAATTGCATGAAAGGTTTATGTTAGTGATTTTTCATATATGGAAATTGTATGACTAGCATTTATCCATAAACCAAAAATATTGATTTTTTCATTTTAATTTCTCAAAATTTTTTGGTTGTGTTCGTAACCGAACAAGTCACTAAATCTTGGTTACTCAAAATAGAGTGACCAAAGGTTTGACCGTCTCCCATTAATAATGCATTCGAAACGGCCTGAAACTTCTAAATTTTATCTTGCACAAACAATATAACGAAAGTATCAGACTTTTAAATTTTGGCAAACTTTTTCAACGATGATTACTATTAAAATTTGAATTTTTAAGTTATCAGACATTGATCAAGCATTACGAGGCTAAACTAGGCTTTTTGGGAAATGAAAGCGGATTCCGCAACAAGGACGCTCCATTTGTTCTCCTTTTGTTCTTTCATTTTCTTTGATCGTTTATACAAAAATTTAACATGTTAAAGACTTGTCTCTGGAATACAGGAACATACAGACACAAGATTGTGCGCCTATACAGTGCATAGTTTGGCCTCGTAATGAGGCATTTACAAGCATGTCATACAAAAATTAGGAGGTTTTAGCGTTTTGAATAAAATTATCAGCGAAAAGGAAAAAGAGGAAAAAAGCAAAAAAATTTTGGGGCAATTTCAAAATTACTTGGAAAAATTTTCGTTGTCGCTATCAAAAAAATGCTAGTCATACAATTTTCTTATATGGAAATTGTATGATTAAAACTTTTTTTGACGAAAAGTGTTTCTTTTTTTATTTAGTACGATACACAGAGTTTTATGGAAAAAAAAAACAAGAAAAAAGTTCTTCAAAACACGATGGCATCATTTTTGCGAAATGTATGAAACTTGTATGACTAGTATTTTTACATAGACTTAGTTTATGGAATTATATAATTAGCATGTTTGGTCTATTAAAGTCAACCCAAAAAGGTTAATGTAGAGGTGTAAATTACAAGTCACTCTTTTTCCCGGAGTCTAGAGGCAATCAAAAACAATGCGCCCATGAGCAAAATTATGTGAACCAAACTATGCTACTGAGGGCAGTTAATTTTGGGACTCAGTGCCCTCATTTAGTAATCCCATTATTTGGCACGCTAATAGCAAAAAGTTCGAAAAAGCAAAAAAGCCAAAAATTAGAAAAATCCAAAAAAGGGATCTAGTAAACCAATGCAGCTGAAAATAAGACAATATAAACCACTCAGCCGATGTTTCGACCCTCACAAGAAACTAGCTAACACAAGCTACGATGGAGCTCGCCCCAGTTTTCGTTACCATGGGGGTGGATGCTCGAACTTAACAAAATACGAAGAGTAAAAGCGCACATAACCAGGCGCGGATCTAGGAATTTCTCGAGGGGGTGCGGATTTTAAAAAAAAATTGAAAATTTTGTCGACATTTTTTTCTTCTTTCGGTCGACTACTAAATTAGTTTTCTGAGCTCTACCAAACCATTATAAAGACACTAACTTAACCAAATTTTGTGCGCCGCAGGCAAATTTTTGAAAAAAGGCTTAAAAAAAGGCCCAAAAAGGCGTTTTTAGGCACTTTTTGGAAAATTTCGACCAAAAAATTGCGTTTTTTCGGGGCGCGCTCCCACCTCCCCTCAAAATTACCTAGATTCGCGCCGAAGGCGCCTTTAGAAAATTTTTAGGGTCGCTCAGCAAATATGGATATCTCAAAATAGTACAAAGGGGGGAGGGACCCTTTGGGTCAGCAGGGGGTCGAATCCTTGAGAAAAAAGCGTCAGCCCCCGCCCTCCCCCCCCCCCCCCTAAATCCGCTACTGCACTTCATTATGCATTAAAGCAGAAAAGAGATTTCGGTTTTAAAGTTATTGAAGTTCAACATCTGAAAAAACCTCAAAAAATTTTCACAGAGCATTTTGCGGCTAAAATTAAATTTCATTTCTGGCTGTTCCCACGTTGTCATGCATCGTTTTCCAAATAAACCTTTTTCTTACAATTCTGGTATAGAGACAGAGTTTTTAATAGTCGCAATATTATATTTAAGATGGGAAGAAAAAGCAAGAATTTTAGGATGACGAGAAAGTGCAAATTAGGAAAATTATAAACATTCTTTGACAATTACCCATGAAATCGGCGGCAACTCCAAAACTTTGAAAAAAGAATATTGCCGCATGGTATTTTTTTGCGTTGAATTTTCAGAAAAAGTTTATTGATTAGATGGGTGAAAAAAGTGGAAACTTTCATAAGCCCGAATTTAGTCAAGGATACGGGCAACAATAGCAAATTATTTAGCAATTTGAGATCATTCAATGATGAACTTTCAGCGGAAATGGGCGGGACAACTTTCAATGACAAAATTTCTATGGGCGGAAAACATTTGAAAAGTAGTTAGGAAACTTCTGCTCGTTTTATGGAACTTCGGAGAAGAATAATTATACGGCTTCTTCATGTGTTGTCTTCCGCTCTTTTCACCCATTCATTGGCTATTTATAAGTCAGAACCTTGACCTGGATCATTTAGTCCTTTGAGTGAAAAAATATACAAAAGATTACAAGTTGATGAGAGCAGGGACAAAATTTCTGCCAATTGATTAAGAAAATTGCCTTTTGATGCTTATGGATTTTTGCTGTGCAAATGCTGCACTCACTTTTCCATCTGTTCTGCATATTCTGCCATTTGGAGCAGGTCCGAGTCGCCTAGGTTCTGCCAGAGGATCTTATCATTCAGCCTGATAGGTTTGTTTCTATCCTGCGGCGCCATGTCAAATGAACTCTCCCAGCGGATCCAGTTGAATAATATTCGAGTTAAGAGTAAAGAACGGCGGCCTCAAGTTTAAACAGATTTAGCTGTAAAAGACACAGTTAAAAAATAAAGTTGCGAATACAAAATATAGTAAAGCTCAGAATGTATGTAATTGTTGCTCGAACATCAGTAAACTAACTAGCATTAAACTCTCAAAAACAATGACAGTATTCATGAACATCTGTGTATACTCTCGTTATTTTCAATCTGGTCATAGATCTTTAGCTTAAGAATTATTCTATAATTGATCGATATTACTCACAAAATAACATAAATTATTAATACAGTAGCTTAAAAATTAGCAGTTTTGCATTGACGCATATAGATAGACAGGAGCGGATCAATTATTTTTATGAAAAAATTTGTAAGAACTTTTTAAGGGCTAACAAAAGTGATTTTGCGAGCTCTCCCAAACCAATATAAGAGCCCTAGAACTCGACCCTCAGTGTTTCTTGTTTTTCGGCCCATGTTTGGGGCGCAACCGGCATCCTTTTACAGGGTCCAGGGAACGTTGCGGCCTCTATCGACTCGAGCCACAGGTCTATTGGGCCAGCGAAGTGGGGTTTTGAGGACAGCTTAATTAATGTGTTGAAAAGTTGAGTGCTGTGCATTGAGGGAAGTTAGGGGGAAATTCGACTCTATCCTTTAAAAATATGTTAATATAGTGTTCATATAGTGTATGTAACGTCTAGTTGAGCGAGGGAGTGTCAGTTCTCTTATAGAGATATCTGGTAGTTAAGAGGAAGAATTTTTGTCGGAGGGCATCATCGATGGTTTTTTGAACTATGTGAGTGTGAATGGGCATTAGCAGCGTTTTCAAAATCTGGTTGACAATAACTTTCAGCTTGGAATAATCGTTTGTAGAGTTTGACTTGATTGCCTGACAAAAACCTGTTGAAGTTCCTTTTTGTAAGAATTGGCAGAGTTTGGGTATGGTTCTCCTCTGGGAGGAGCAAGTGAATGCAGTAAAAAAGTTTTGGACTTAAAAGCACGTAAGTTCTAAGTGGATTTAGATGCGAGCAGCTTAGGGTCATTTGTCACATTAAATCAATTGCACTCTAAGTGTAGGTGGTAAATGAGCCTCCTTAAGATGAACCCATTCTTTATCTGTTGAACTGCATCTTACAATGATTACTTTTTACTAATTGAAGTAAGACTGGCAGCGTGGGCTCAGACTGGACAGGTGTAATCAATTTTTATTCAAAATTTTTAAAGAAATTTTTATAGAAATTATTAGAATCTCTTTCGACTAGCCCGAGCTTGAGCCTTCACAAACTATGTTCTGGGCTTGGCTTATTTGCAGTTTGTCTACAGTGTGTGGAGAAACTAAGAGCTCGGTCAAAATAAACAACGAGAATTTCAGGGCACTTCTGCAATGGTAAAGTTGGATCACACATTATTACTTTGGGGTAAAAACTAAATTCAATTTTATGAGCAGTTAAATTACTGGCTGAAAATTTTGTGGAAGAAAAACTAAGTCATCTACTTGTAAAAAGAACTTGTAGTTTTTTTGAGAAAACTACTCAGTGTGTTTTATGCCACGCGATTGGACAAAAGTACTGACAAAATAACATCGGTTACTGATACAGTATAGCAAAACTAGCAATTCGTGCCTTGATGCATATAGCCAGGAGAGGCAGTTTTTTCATGAATAAATTAATTAAAGTTTTGCGTGTCAACCAAAGTGATTTCTCGAGCTTTCGCAAACCACTATAAAGACCCCAGGAATCCGCCTCCTGTTTTTGTTGTTTTTCGACCGATTTTTGGAGAGCGACCGACAAGCTATCGCCGGGTCTAAGTTGATGCCTCTGTCTTTTGGGTCAGGAAAATTGGGTTTTAGGGACAGTTAAAATATGTAGTGAAAAGTGGGACGCTGAGCATTGGGGGAAATTTGTGGGACAGTCGGCTCTATCTTTTTAAAATCATGTTAACATAGGGTCTGTAGCTAGATCTTAGTCGAGCAACGGTGCGTCTAGTTGAGCGAGAGAGTCTTAGTTTTTTTATAGTGATTTTGGTGATTTAGAGGAAGAGTTTTTGTTGGAGGGCTAAAAACACTAATCTGGCCAAATTGTTTTTAGCTTGACTCGTTTGCCTCAAAAAAGCCTCTTGGATATCCGCTTTTTAAGACTCTGCAGCGTTTTGACTTGGTTTTCTGAGGCGGCTCATGAGTAAGGTAAAAAAAAATGTGAGGATCTTATAAGCATGTAAGCATTGAGAATGAATTGAGATACAAGTTCCTTATGATGATTTCTCATATTAATTAAACTGCACTCTGAGTGTAGGTGATCAATGGGGCTCATTTTAGTGGACCTGTTCTCTATACAAAGAGCTTCTTTTCAGATTGTTTGCATTTTTCTAATTGAAATGTTACTGACAGCATTAGCCCAAGCTGGACAGGCGTAATCAATTTTTCAACGAAATTTTATAGGTAATGATTTGAAGCTCGTTCGACCAGCTCGAGTTTCAGTTCGACAGTGCGCTAAGGACCGATATCGCGCGCATGACTTATTTGCAGTTTGTTTGCAGCTCTTGGAGTAAATAAAGCAGAGTCGAATTAAACACCGATAATATCAGGGTACTTCTGCAATGTTGAAAGCGAGTCAGACTTCTAACAAAAAATTTTCAACTGTGACCACAAAGAAACAAAGACCGACTTTTGATGATAGAAAAACTAATGATCAACTTGGAAAAAATCATTATCTTTCATTGAAATAAGTACTCAATAGGTTTCATGTCGCGCGATTCGACGAAAATTTGAAAATCATCGGCGTAAAACTGAAATTTTATTTCTGCGGTGATTAATCAAGCACGTGGAATTTAAACAGAGTTGTTATAGTGACTGGATTTGAGAAAGGCCTGTACGCATAAATCATGCTGTTTTCAAGACGTCCTTAAATTTCGTCTCCGCTTTTCAATCATTTGATAATTGGAACTGCTATCAATAATTAGATAGCAGTTCCACAGATTACGGTGGCGGATTTTGTCAAAAGCTTTAGAGAGATCTAGCGTGGCAGTTGTAGTCTTTTCCTGGTGTCGCTGTTGATTAAACCTATCGCTGATGTAAAATTCAAGAGCAATTAAGGCCATAGTTGTTGAGTATAGGTGTCTCAAATCATGCTTTTGTGCTACTTTTCAGAATTTTTAGTAAGTTTGAGTAAAACTTACCAGAAAAATTTTCTAATGCCGGGCTCAATATTAAAACAGGCAATAGCACTCTGATACTTCGAAATTTTTGCTTGGACTTTGTGAAAAAGGACCCTCGAGTTCTTCCCGAATTGAGGTATTATTCTTCCGTTCTTATTCTTCTGTTCTTGAAGTGTTCTTGATGATTTTGCTGTTTTAATGGCGGCCTCAGTTTTAACTTACAAGACGTTCAGCGGCTCAGACGTTCAGCGGCTTAGTAAAATTTTTTTGGTTTTCCAATGCATTTTGTGCAAGTTGTGGACTCTCAGTTTAGTAATTTGAACATAAACGCGTTTGCTGTTTCTCTGTCTTCGAAAAGTTTTATTCAATAAAAAATAATGGGTTGTATCTAGTCACACATTGTGTACCGCTTAAGGAGCTGACCTCTTTCCAAAACCTAATTGATGAAATTTGCAGGCTAAAAGTTTGCTTAAAGTCGTGCCTTTTCGCAGTTTTTTTCATCAAATTAGGATTTAAAATTTTTGAGACAAGGTTTGATTAGTAGTCTTCTAGTCTGAGGTCGTCTCGCTCCTTTGCCACCTCTCTTCTTTGTTTCTTGAAACCGAAGTAAGACGCTGTACGGGTATATAAATGAATTACCTCTTTGGTGTATGATACTTTGCTGCCTTTCAGATTACGTTTTTTTACAAAATGTTGAGCCTTGCTCACGTCGTTTGTTACAGCGGTGTTTGAAAGTCTGCTCTTTGATTTCAGTCAAACTATCCTAGTTCTTTTTATTGAAAACTAAAAAAACTTTTCCTGTAGAAAACGGGATTAGCTCAGTTATATAGAATTTTATCAAATTTGGAAGATGGTCTGAATCCAAATTTAGAAGCGGTTAACAAACTGAAGAGAGTAAAACTGATGATGATGCTGAAGAGATTTCTGATGAAAATACTCAATTGTTAACAAACGGTAAGCGGGTCTGGTTATAATAGTTTAGTGGTGTTAAAATGAGTCCATGACAGATTTCAATGCCTTCGAAGGCTCCTCTGTTGTCTTCTGGTATATTTGAATATCAAAGCGGTGAGTGAGCTTTAGCGTCGCCTATGACAATTGCATAAGAAATTAGATTTTTGCCAATGTTCTGAAAAACCTAAACTTCCAAAGTCCTGTCTTCAACGGTTTATAAATCAATTTCCTAAATGATCTTTATATGACAAATCGGTTGCTTCTTCCCTCTCGTGGGCGATCAATTCTTACTACTGAATAGGTCGAACCAAACCATGAGAACGAATTTCACTGTAAATTTAGTTTCTTCAAAAACTGCATTGTTTATCTAATTATCGCACAATAAAGCTGCTCTTTTCGGCGCTTTGTGGGATATGTCATCCTACAGCTGGAGGGAATTGAGAGAATTAGCGGGTGGAGTTGAGTTACCTGTAAGGGGTTTTTTGAGACATGGGAAACGCTTTAGGTTGAGTTTGTCGGGAGCTTTTAACTTGAGAATAACAGTTTGTAACTCGTCGATACTTCGTCATTTCTCTCTTAGGCGTTATAGAAAGTGGGAGAGTTAGGATGTGGTTATTTGTACAAATGGGCCAGTAAAATTTTCGATTGTGTTGTTCAACTTTGAGACTCCACGGAATTTGACTTGAATCCACTGCAGCTGCACATGAAACCACACAGTAGCTTGGATGTGTGCTTTTTTGAGTTTTATGGGGAACAGTTTCAGTGACCAGCGTCTGGAGTGATGATAGCATAAAATTAAGACTTCTAGAAGGCGCAGCCTTACCAACTTTGGCCGCTCAGAAATACAACTATCTGATCCGAGCATGCTTTCCGCGCTCCCAAAAAATGTGGATTTTAACTAGTGTCAGTTGCTACGACTGTAGTCGCTCATTGGGCCCACCCCTGAACCCACCCAAGAACCAAAAGTTCCCTCCTTCGATACTATGCAAGGGACGAACAATTAAAAATGATCTAAGGGCGTCTCAGGTCCTATTATAAAACAT